GTTGTGCCATGGGGATAAAAATCTCTGGGACAGGACAGGTAATAGACATTAAGTGAGAAGAAGTATGAGGTTTCAAGCCAAGCTTTCTATAAAGCTTTGCTTTCCATGTCCAGATATCACCTATGCTTCCGATTCTGTGTCTCCCTCTCTCTCTGCCCCTCCCCTGTTCATGCTCTGTCTCTCTCTGTCTCAAAAATAAATAAAACGTTAAAAAAAAATTTTTTTAAAGATGTCCCAGTGAACAAAAACTCCATGATGAACCTCCTCTCTGCATCGTCTTGACTAATAGATGGTTAGCTCAAGTTATGTCTGCAAATGCACACACAGAAAGCTACTATCTTCGTGAACGTCAGCCGATCAGCAAGTATTTATGGACAACTTGTAATTTTGCCTCAGTGTTTTAAGAAGATTATTCTGGAAGCAGAAATAAGAGAGCTGGGAAACAGAATGCAGTCAAAGACACTGCAGTTCACTCTTTAATGAAGTACGCTTGTTTCTTGCTCTTGAAAGGAAATATGGAAGTCGAGGACTATTAGAACGGCTGTTGGCTTTTTAATTGATAAAACCAGAAATAATGGTTCCATTTGGGGAGCAAAGGCACATAATGGGAACTGTTCATTCATGGCAGCCGTGCTTTACCACGCAGATTGTGCCAATGATTAGTAACAAAAAAGCCCAACTGTGCCTGCTGTTTAGCCATACCTCTGGCCGGACACTTCCTGTTTGCCAATCTGACGGGATCACCTGCTTTCCCAGAGATTACCCTACATTTCAACCCCTTACCTTCTACCCCAGATCGGTAGGGCTGACTCCCTGAGCTTGCGACACATCACCCTTCCCTCTCCCTACCCCCCAAGTCTTACCTATTCTACACTGTCCCCAGAATCTCCCTCCTTTATTCTTTTCTCAAAGTACCACCATACACTTGTCTCTTCCGGTTCTACTCTTTCTCAGCTCACGTTCTGAGTGCTGAGACGCATCAGAAAAGGAAAAGGAGCTATTCCCTGTGGTTTGATCTTATAAAAACAGAATGGATTTTATGAAAAGAAGAAGTGGACAGGAGTGGTATTTGCTCACCTTGTACTCACTCTAATTATAGCCAGTTGGGTGTTATGGGCAACCATATTGGGTGACATGAGGGTTGCATCAGACAGGATGTCCCATTTCCAACTTCCCCTGTTCATGCCCTATGCATTCCCTAATCAGCATTTTAAAATTACAACCTGATTGCTGAACAAATAGGAAGTCTCCCCATTAGCTGAATTGTGGCCTGCAATTTTGTATATTACCAAGAACACTTGATTCCCAAGCTCAGCTTTATTCTTCCGAATTTTGCTGACTTACTGTTTCCCCAGAAGTAATGGACATTTTGTTTGAGGAAAGATAGACATTTAGGAAATTTCAATTGGAAGAAAGGCAAAAAAAAAAAATTCTTCCGGATTTTGCTGACTTACTGTTTCCCCAGAAGTAATGGACATTTTGTTTGAGAAAAGATAGACATTTAGGAAATTTCAATTGGAAGAAAGGCAAAAAGCTGAAATCTTGTTTTTCCTGCGGTAAAGTGTCATGTTCCCCTCTTCCTCCAGATAGCCTCGGCTCCTGTTATGTAGTGTTGAAATTTCTGTTCCAAGAATGTGGAAGGATTAGGATGCCATAAACCCAGGGTTTAAATCAGGAGTGTCCTCAGGGCGCCGGGGTGGCTCAGTCGGTTAAGCGTCCGACTCTTTTTCTGCTCTGGTCATGATCTCACGGTTTGTGAGATCGAGCCCCGAGCCCAGCTCTGTGCCGACAGTGTGCCCAGCCTGCTTAGGATTCTCTCTCTCCCTCTCTCTCTGTCCCCGCCTCTCTCTCTGCCCCTCTCCGGCTCACGTGCGCACGTGCACGCTCTCTCTCCCCCACAAAATAAATAAGCTTAAAAAAAATAAATAAATCAGGAGTTTCCTCTCCCACGGAACCTAGAACTAGGACTCAGAAAAAGAAAAATCAGCCTGATATTAAAGGAATCCAACACCTTCAAATCTATTTGCAGCCTTTTCTTTAGATGTTTATGCCAGTAAATTTCTGGGAATTATGCCTCACACAGAGGTCACACACTGGACCTCCACAAACTACATCCAGCCAGCTCGTATATTTAATTTGGCCTTCACAGTGTTTTTTAAAAATAAGAATTGGTCATCAACCTTTTAAATTTTTACATAAAATATAGGTTTATATAAAATAAATAGTTATGTTAAATTTATTTATATAAAAATACAGATTTCTGTATCGTCTTGGGAAAAAATAAAACCGGATGAGGCAGCCCTGGAATGTTATTTCCACATGGGTAGTGGTGGATGGTGGACCATTAACTCAGTGGGAAACATACAAGGGGGATCATTCACGAAGGGTGGGGCTGGAAAGATGATCAGTTTTCTCCCGGAAGTACACCTCTAGGCTTGAACTGGAATTCCAATGAGCATTCAGTTCACCTCACTCCCTAAATACCTGCCCAAATATCTGGTTTCTGAAAGCAGCACCACGAGCTTCCACTTTCCCAACGGCGATCCTAACTACAGAATCAGTGTGGACGTTTCCCTCTTCTTCTCTGCTATACCACCCCTCCCCCATCAGCTACTATCTGTGGTTTATTCTCTCCAAACTTTACTGGGCAATAAGATAGCTACCAGCCGCATGAGCGCTTAAAAGGTGGCTAGGTTAAATGGAGATATGCTCTAAGTGAAAAAGATACATTGGATTTTAAATACCTACACTAAAAAAATAGTACTTTAAACTAGCTGGTTAAAATTAATTAGTTAAAACAATAAATAAACTAGCTGATTAATAGTTTCACATGGGCGACCCATTAAAATGAGATTTTTGACATATGGTGTTAAAGATATTATTAAAATTAATTTACTTATCTCTTTTTATCTTTTTAAATGTGGCTTCTAGAAAATGTTAAATTACATATGGGGTTCACATCTGTGGTTGACATTACCTTTCTTTCTTTCTTTGGTTTGTTACCTTTCTATGGGACAGCATTGCCTCAAAATAGCTCTTCATGTGACATGTTAGTGGTGCTAATTATAGCCACAATGGCAATCATATTACAATACATGAATGTCAAATCAACATGCTATATACCTTCAGTTTACACAATGTTATATGTCAAATATATTTCAACAGAAAAAAAATTTCGCTTGGGTTTGTCTTCAACTTTCTAGCCTTGCTGCCATGCAATAGTTTGCATCTCATATCCCTTTACTCCTAGAATTTCACATTGGCCGAGGCTTTTTCCCCTTCTAATCTGTTCTGCACACCCTGGCCAAGTTTATCTGCCTAAAACACGGCTTTTATCATGAAACGCTCCTACTCAAACACTAACACCAGCTCCCAACTCTAGCCTATAAAGTCCGAACTGTTGAGAATAACAACTTCCACTTTACAAACCGAATTTATTCTGTCCTTTATTGAATTTTCCAAACAACGGAGCACCTAGCCTACCAGATTCCTGGTTTTCTAAATGCCTGAGCTGGGGGTGGTGAGAAGCACTTTTGATCTTAGAGGTTACAAAGATGATGCAGTTAAAGCATCCAAACAGAAGCTCTTTTCACTTACGATAGTTTCTACAACACCTCACAATCGACTGAAGAGCATCCACGGATCTATGAGCTAAACTATTTTAACATCAGTTGAGAGAAAGAATAATAGTGTGAACTGAACAAACTGTTACATTTGCATTTTGGAAAACCCAAACTGGATATGCAACTAGAAAAGCTTAAATGAAATAATGCACTTCACTCATCCATTATAGGTCCAAGCTCCCAAAGTGTGTGTGTGTGTGTGTGTGTGTGTATGTGCGCGCACGCACATACACACACACGTATATATAGCTTTGTCACAATAAATTTTAATAATGCCAATTTGAAATACTGTGGTATAACAATTAAAATGCCATCTCAACTTGAAAAGCACGAATTAAAAATTCATCAGGAATTATATAAATCCAAAGCCAGCAGAGCTACTGATTTATAAAGTGTGTTGGGTATTCTACAAGGCAACTTGAATTTAGCTTGGGAAGAGAGACTTGTCAGGATTTATCTCAAATATGTGAGTTTTGAATTGTGCCATCTTCAAGACCTCATCCCTTTCATCAAACACGCCACCTTATAGACATTTTCTTCCTTTTTTTCCCCCCCAATTATAGATCAGATAGGTTTTGCCAAATTCCCTAGGAGAATTTCTTGGTGCACGAAGCTTGAGTTGAGACAAATCCACATTCTACCATTTATTCTGTTACTTCAGACAGATTACTTAATTGTTCAGTTGCTCCTTATTAAAACTGGGCAGAAAGTATATATTCTTGTTTTATAGGAATTCCAAGAGATAACATACACGGTTAGCACAGCGCTGGGCATGTAGAAAGAGTTCTCAACAGCAGGGCAACCGTGAAGGTAACATGCGATCTGTCTGGCTTTTCTCAAAGCAGTTTGAAGACTCTGTAAAAGGGTGGGGCTTTGGCGTCTCACGCTACTAACCTCTGTAAGTTTAATAGACGGAGAGCTACATGCCACAGGGGTCTGGGTGGGGTGGGACGGAGCGCGTCCGCCCGCCCCCTCAGCCGCAGCTTCACCGCAGATGCCAGAAGGTGGCCACCAGGTCGGGCCTCAGTTGCACTGGTTCTTCCGGACTTCCGCTTCGCAGCCTCTGGCAATGAAAACACTACCACGTGGCCTGCAGCCTTGCGTCACCCTCCTTCGCCCAATGGAGAGCCGCGTCGCTGAGCTGGGGGCGGGTCGCTACCAGGGCGGTTCAGCCCACAGCTGTCGTCAATTGGCCAAGGGGGCGCGGCGGCGTGGACTCATAGCCAATGGCGGCCGAGGGTGGGGACCCCACCCCCTCGGCTGCCGGGTTTGGCTCGGACGCGCCGGAGGATCTGGGCCGGGCGTGGGGGCGGAGCGAAGCGGGGACGGGGCGGAGCGAAGAACGGCAGGGCGGGGCCAGGAGCGGAGGTGGGGCCGCGACCCGGCCCGCGGAGCCGGCGCCAGCGGGCTGCTGAGGTGGCTGTCGCCGGCTCGGAGCTGCGGCTTCCCCGGGCCGAGCCCCCGATGGAGGCCGAGGCCGCGGATGGCCCCCCGGGCGGGGTCGAGGCGGCGCTCAGCTGCTTCTCTTTCAACCAGGACTGCACGTAAGCCGCGGCGCCTGCCCTGCGGGGAGCTGGGGGGCAGAAGTCGCGAGCAGGGGTCTTGTCCTGTCGGCCACTTGTAGCGGGAGTGGCGCGGGCCTGCGCCTCCAGAGGGCCGCGGCAGCGCGGCAGGGGCGGCTCCCGGCCCGCACGGTCTGGGTGGGCTCCCTCTCCCCCTGCGGGGGTTCGAGCGCCCCCACCCCCGCTGTGGGCTGAGGGCCAGGAGCGGCCGGCCGAGCACGAAGGGAGGGAGTTCGCGGGCGCAGTGGGGCTGAAGAAGGCTACGGATCCAGTGGGGGCAGAGGCTAGTGCCCGAGTGGGGGTCTCGGGAGGAGGGGTAGAGGCCAAAACAAAGGAGATGGGCGAGGAGGGGGAAGTTGCAAGTTGACCCTAGGCGAGGTTGTTGGGGCCCAGGAAGATGAGAGTACAGGAAAAACTTTCCCATTTGTCCTTGAGCATCTCAACGTGGCATCTGGGCAGGGCCTGGGACAAAGAGGCAGCCTATCGGTGCGGCCAGGCCAGCCCTCGTCCCAGCCCAGCTCGGGGCATCTCGCCTTTCCACCCCCTCTCACTGTGTTCACACAGCCCCCTGGGCGAGGCAGAATCCTCTTCTCCGAGTCCCCGAGCCCTTTCCCGGGCCCCGGCTGCCTTCTCTGAGAAGCGCGAGCTCCACCCTGTTGCTTTTTGAGTGCACTTGTAATGTTTCACTTCGATGTGCACATTTGGACTTTGGCCAGAGAGTTAGAGGCTGAACTGTATTTCAGACCTCTCAAAGATTCAGTCCTTTACAAGTGAACGCCTGCTTCCTTACCTCTTTGCGTGGAATTGTTAGACGCCAGTCCTGGGGACCATATGGAATAATCTCTTGGGAATGTGCACCCCAAGCATCAAGCAGGGATGACTACTTTTCCAGGTTCCCACTTCCTGCTGTACCAGTTTCTGTCGTGTTCCTTGTTTGGAATCGGCTTCAGGCTTGTGCTTTGGCTGCCTGTGACTGGGCTGTGCTAATATTGAACATTCACTGGTGTAATTAAGGCCATCCTGTACCATAAGAAACTCTGGCTTCCATTCCCTTTGTGTTTCTGTTTAAAAACACCCTATGCCAAACAATATGCCTTTGTTCGGAAAAAAAAAAAAAAAAGTATGTGTAATCGGGTAATTGGGTGGCTGGACAGCTTGGTTAGATGAGTGACTTTTAAGCCTTTTTTGACCACAGTCCACAATAAGAAATGCATGTTACAACATCCCCTGATACCCACATACATAGACTGTCTCCCAAAGGTGATTCATTAAATAGTGTTTACTCTTGCTATATAGTGTGATACCTTCTTTTAAAGCTGTTTGTGACTCATGAGCTGTTTTTAAGATCTCCTCATGGGTTGAGACCCGCAGTTTACAGAAATGATGGTGTAGATAAAATTCTGACATTTTGTAAGAAGCATTTTGCAAGAGAGGATGGCTGTTGAAATGCCAGAGTGTTTTCCTTCCCAACTGAACACAGGATAAGGAAAGGAGTCAGTTTGCTAGTTCACAGTAAATGTTCGAAATTCTGCTTTATAAACGTTGTGTATCAGATTTTTTTTTTTTTTTTGAGTGGGGTTAGTTTTTACTCTGGGTGAGTCCCAGCTTTCTATGGCACTTGGGTAAGAATATTATTTTCAAAGCTGTTGGGTGCTTGGAAAGTTAATTTCCTTCGTCTCTATGGTCAGTTCTGTTTTCTTGGATGAAGGCTTTGCTGGACAGCTCTGTCTCACCTATAAATAAAAGTTTTTGTCAGAGTCAGTTGCTTTGAGCCACAGAGGATATGACATTGGATTTTAAAATAAGTCAAGCCCCTTACGTATGCATTTAGGAGTGTCAGTGTGTCTTTCTTTGTAAGTGCAGGCTGAGTTTGGAATCCAGTAGTGCAACTAACCTTTACGAGTCTTCTTTGATCATACTTCATGCTTGGCACTGTGCTAGGCACTGTGGGTACATTTTTTCATTTGACTGGTGGCACATATTTGTCCCAAGCTCTATTCCTGTGAGAGGTGATGAGAATTTATTTATTTTTTTCTGCAGGAAGCCCTTATGGATAAAAATAGGATTTTAGTCTGGATTCCTTGATTCAGCCTCCTTTGTGGCCATTGCTCAACATTTAAAACACAATAGTAACCACACTGCTATTTTTTCACGTATAAAATTCTTCTGGGAGCAGGCCTTCTGTTTGCATTTTTTTTATTTTTATTTTTTAAAGACTTTATTTTTAAGCAATCTCTACACCCAACGTGGGCTAGCAGTCATGATCCCGAGATCAAGGGTCACACGCTCCACCGACTGAGCCAGCCAGGCATCCCTGAAAATTATTTTAAATTACCAAATCTTTCGGTTAATATCACAAGACTCTCATTACATTTTTCCCTTACTTACAAGTTTTAGAAACCTCAGTTGCCGCCAAACTTGTCTATATTTATGTGAAAAAGTCCATGTGAAGAAAGTTTAAAGACAGTAATCACTGCAGGGCATATCAAAAAAGTTTTTTGAATCATAGAATAAAAAGGAGGTTTTGTTTTTTTTGTTTAATTTTTTTTTCCCCAACGTTTTTATTTATTATTTTTTGGGACAGAGAGAGACAGAGCATGAACGGGGGAGGGGCAGAGAGAGAGGGAGACACAGAATCGGAAACAGGCTCCAGGCTCCGAGCCATCAACCCAGAGCCCGACGCGGGGCTCGAACTCACGGACTGCGAGATCGTGACCTGGCTGAAGTTGGACGCTTAACCGACTGCGCCACCCAGGCGCCCCAAAAAGGAGGTTTTTAAAGTGCAGGTGCCATTGACACATGCAGCATTATATTTGTTTCAAGTGTACAACCTATTGTGATTCAACATTTGTATACATTGGGAAATGATCTCCACGATAAGCCTGCTAACCCATCTGTCAACCTACACAGTTAATGCAATATTACTTATTGTATTTCCTGTGCTCTACGTTCGTCCCCATGATGTATTTATTTTATAACTGGAAGTTTGTATTTCCTGATCTCCTTCACCAATTTCATACCCCCCTCCCCCCAAAAAAACCCTGTCATCTGGCAACCACCAGTCTATTCTCTGTAACTATGAGTCTGGGTTTTGTTTTGTTTTGTCTTTCTTAGACTCCACGTATAAGTGAAATCATGTGATATTTGTCTTTCTCTGTCTGACTCATTTCACTTAGCACAGTGCTCTCATCCATGTTGCCGCGAATGGCAAGATTTTGTTCTTTTTTATGGCTGAGAAGTGGAGTGTGTGTGCGTGTGCACACGCCCATGTGCACGTGTGCACGCATGCCGTGTCTTCTTTATCCGTTCATCCACTGCTGGGCACTTGGGTCGTTTCCATATCTTGGCTGTTGTAAATAACGCGGCAATGAACATACGGGCGCGTACATCTTTTCGAGTTAGTGTTTTCACTTTTTCTTCTGAAAGATACCCACAAGTGGAATTGCTGGATCATATGGTAGTTCTCTTTTTAATTTTTTGAGGAATCTTCATGCTGCTTTCTGGCGTGGCTGCCCCAGTTTGCATTCATACCCATAGTGCACGAAGATCACCTTTCCAACACATCCTCGCCGACACTTGCTATTTCTTATCTTTTTAATAACAGCCATTCTTACAGGTGTAAGGTGGTATCTCATTGTGAATTGGATTTGCATCTCCCTGATGATCGGTGATGCCGAATGTCTTTTGATGAATCTGTTGGTTATCTGCACGGCTGCTTTAGAAAACTGTCAATTCAGATTCTTTTCCATTTTTAACCAGGTTGTTTTTTTGTTATTGAGTTACATGAATTATATGTTTTCTTTATACCTACAAAGTTAATGCAGTATTATCTACTGTATTATATATTTATATATTTTTATAAATAAAAATATATTTATAAAAATATATTTAAAATATTTTATATGCACTTAATATATATTTACATATTTATTTTATATATTTATATATTTGTTTTATATTTTCCTTACATAAAATATATTTATATGTATTTATTTTATGTATATATACATTTAGTTTATATATATTTATTGTATCTATATTTTACATATTACATATACTTCTATATATTTGTTTTACATGTACTCAAAGATAATATGTATTTTCTTATTTTATATTATACCATATACAGTATATATTTTGGATATTAACCCTTTAAGGGACATACAATTTGCAAATATTTTCTCGCATTCAGTGGGTTTTTTCATTTTGTTGATGGTTTCCTTTGCTGTGCAGAAGCTTTTTAGTTTGACGTAGTTCTACCTGTTTGTTTTTGCTTTTGTTTCCCTTGCCTCTGGAGTCAGAGCCAAAAAACATTGCTAAGACCCCTGTCAAGGAGCTTGCTGCCTATGTTTTCTTCTAGGAGTTTTATGGCTTCGGGTTTTCCATTCAAGTCTTTAATCCATTTTGAGTTCATACTTGTATGCGGTATAAGACAGTAGCCCAGTTTCACTCTCTTGGCTGCGCGTGGCCGTGTTGTGAACTTGTAAGATGCCGGGGGCGCGCCTCTCACCTCTCCAGGTGCCGTTGGTCATCATTGACGCTGCTCCAGCACCTGTCCCGCCCCTCAGGTCAGCCCCCCAGCAGGTGGAGGACTGCGGGACCCAAGCAACTACCTCACTGATTGAAAGTTGACCGCAGCCTCCTCTCCCTGTGTCCTGGGGAACAACGAACGTTTGGGTAGAAAAAAAACAATTCCAGGGAAAACCACATGACCTCCTCTTTTTTATTTTTAGGCTGATGAAACAAGAGCCTTGGCCATCAGGCTCGCCCCAGTCAACTGCTTATATTAGTATATGCTTCCCTGTGCAGAATGGATCTCACCTTTTCAAAGACCTGCTTCAAATGAGGAAGCTGGGCTAATTTTTAGTCCACTTAGGACTATTTTAAGGTCTCTTTCGGCTCTGACATCCCATTTTCCCAGGGTGGAGGTGCTCCAGGTCGGAGCGCTTTTTCTAAGTGTGCCCTGTGTGAGATTTTGCTCATCGCTGAGGTGTTGAGGGCAAAGCAGGAGGAATCTGGATGGGGGTCCCAGCTGCGAACAAAATGGACTCGTCTGCTTTCATCCTGTGGCCAAAGAAACTGGCCAAGGAAACAGTCTTTCTTTATCTATTGGTCGAAAGTGAAAAATTAAGAAAACAAGATTTATTTAGCCCATACCGTTCCAGATGTGTTTAGTTTTTGTTTTGTTGGTTGGTTGTGATACTAGCTTTGTGGAACGTGGTATACACCAGAGTTTTCAACCCTGGCTGCACATTAGAGTACTTGAACTAAAAAAAGAAAAAGAGAGAGAGACAAAGAGAAGGAAGGGAGGGAGGGAGGGGGGAAGGAAGGAAGGAAGGAAGGAAGGAAGGAAGGAAGGAAGGAAGGAAGGAAGGAAAAGAGAGAGGAAAAGAAAAAAAGAAAAGAATCCAACTAAATAAAAAGCTCAGTGTTGGAGGCACCGCGATAGACCAATCATCAGTATTTTTTAAAAACTTCCCAAGTGAATTTAATGTACATCTAAGGATGAGAGCTACTGGTAAAAAGCATCTGCGGTGTTTTCATGGAAAATGATGAAAGGAAGCATCCACTAAATTGTACCTACTAATGACTGTGCCTACTATGACCGTGTGTTTATTTTTTAAGCAAAAATAAATAAAAAATTGACCTCTTGGCAAAGTACCTCTCAGACAACCAGAAGACCCCTGATCGTGTTGGGAGTAGTGCAGGATGAGTATTCTTATGTATTCCGTCTTTCCTGTTTCCCAGCTGGGAAAGCACTGTCCCTGGGAGGTTTGACTTTCCTTCGATGAGTTTCAGCTCTCTGAACCTCATTCCCACGTGGTATTATCTTCCACAGATCCCTAGCAATTGGAACCAAAGCCGGTTATAAGCTGTTTTCTTTGAGTTCTGTGGAGCAACTGGACCAAGTCCATGGAAGCAGTAAGTGTGTGTGTGAAATCCCGGGGACACCGAATCCTTCCTCTAGACTTTAATCTGCGGTGCTCCTGAGCTGTCTGCATTTTTCTCCCGTAACTGTCAAACTGAAGGAGTCAGTCATTTTCAGACTTAAATATAAATCATTGCCTCCACTTGGCTTAAAAAGTAAAACCACAAGTAAGCACTTAGATTTGGCAATAGCTTAGGTAACCTTTTCTTTTTATATTAAGAAATCCTTTGTTTGAAACCTTGTCGTTAAACTTTTTCGTAGACTTTTATGCACAGTCATCAGTTTTGATCATTGTCCTATCAGAAGGTCACTTATGGGTTTGTCTTTTTTTTTTTTTTTTTTTTGCTGTCATACTGGCACTGTAGAATGTTGGTAACATTCATTCGGTCATGGAAGTGTTTTCTTTGTTTTAACCAAGCAGTGCTATCCCATTTGCATAGATCATATTGAAGATGTTGGAGTACTCTTAGTGATTATTACAACAAAAATTAGTTCTCTTAATATCTCAGGGTAAGTAATAATTTGTGTCATCATAATGGAGAAGAATATGCAGTCTTTGGATTTCCTGGAAAGAAAGTGGTTTGGTAAATGAACACATTGGGTCGCTAATGTATTTGTAAGATGTTATTTTTATTATGCCATTTTCATGAATACTTTGCTCTGTATCTGTCCTATGTTATTCCCTATGGGTCCTGCCTGAGCACAAGGAAGGCACGCATCCGAGAAAGAATGTTCTCAGAAAACCACTGAGGTCTCTACCTGTGGGAGCTCAGGAGGCTTACTGACTGACCTTCTTCCTGAGCACAGACGCCCTTCCCTGGTCATCACACAGATTGTCTTCAACAGGAAAGGGATTGAAGACAGGACCAGGGAGGGGAGCAAGACAGGGAGGGGCACAGATGTAATTCTGTGACTGCCCCCACCCCACTATGGCTGTCCCCATGGCACCTGCTGGCCACAAAGACCAGAATTCCAGAAGCAGGGATTCCCCAGAGTAGTCAACCCTTGGAAACCTCTCGTGGAGAAAGGGCGGGCCGAGACTGTGCACACCTCCCGATATAATTTCCAGAGCACACAGTGGTGCCCTAGAGACGATTCTGCCCCCACGGAAGGCACCCGGGGAAATCTCTGGAAGACCTGACTCTGCCTTCTGGTCACTAACGTCTTCTTCGGGTCTTGGAAAGGGCTGCAGAACCGCCCCCTTGGGAAACAGGCAAAGCTTCACCGTAGGGGAAAAAAACCAGTCACTGCGAATGTGTGCTAAGCTACGCGCGCGAGACGTACAGGCCGCTGGCTGACTGGTGTGAGCTGGGCTCGGTGCCCGGAGGCCGAAATCTGTGTCACCTCAGCCTCCTTTCCCTCCCAGACGAAATCCCGGATGTCTACATCGTGGAGCGCCTCTTCTCCAGCAGCCTGGTCGTGGTGGTCAGTCACACAAAGCCGCGGCAGATGAACGTCTATCACTTCAAGAAAGGCACGGAGATCTGTAATTACAACTATTCCAGCAACATCTTGTCCATAAGGCTGAACCGGCAGGTGAGTGGGGGGAACCGCCCGGGGTTGCGAGGCTTCTGCTGATTGGCACCAAGGGAGAAGATGAGTATCTTTAAAGATGAGCGTTTCTAAAAACAAACATCAGGTGCCCAAAGGGATTTTAATACTCAGGCCTAGTATTATGGGGACATCTCGAGCCCACTCCAGGCACCTGTTTCAGGGATGTGTCCTCCCTGGTCCTTCTGCCTCGTGTTCTTTCTCCAACGTGGGCCGCTGGCAGAGCGAACCCTCTTCCGCTGGATGCGGGCTGGGCGGAAGTCCGGCTCTGACGCTGTCCCGTGAGCTAGTGCGGGGGTACTGAACCCGGAAGAACATCTCTCCCTGGTTTGGTTGGGCCCAGGACGGTGGCATCTGTTGCAGACCGGCAGTAATGCCTCTCAGAATGAAACCCCTGAGGATGAGTGTGCCCCCCCCCCCCGCCCCGGGCTAGTTCTGAAGGCAGTTGGAAAACTGACCCTTCTCTTTGTCCCTCCTTGGGTTTTCCCAGCAGGCCAGGTGCCCAGCCTCGCGTCCCACCTTTGTTTCTCCCAGCTCACCCTTACAGATCATCCTTGTAGTTTTTTCTTTGTCAAAGGAAGGGTTATTCTTATCTCAGATATACCATACATTCTCTTTAAAAATCGGAGTTCTTGTTAAATAAGTATTTGGGGGTATTGGCAGAGTTTCTCTTAAGTTATTAGATTTTATGGGCGCCTGAGTGGCTCAGTCGGTTATTGTCCGATTCTTGGTTCCGGCTCGGGTCATGATCTCACAGTTCGTGGAGCTGACAGTACAGAGCCTGTCTGGGATTTGTCTCTCTCTGTCCCTCTCTCTCCTCTGCCCCTCCCCCGTTGACGATCTCTCTCTCTCTCTCTCTCTAAATAAATAAACTTTATTTAAAAAATTATTAGATTTTTAAATCCTATAAGGGACAGGACTGTATCCATTTTGTTCACTTCTATAGACCTGGTAAAAAAGACAGTGCCTGGTAGAAAAAAATTGCTCCACAAATACCTGTTTCCCGAGTACCTATTAATTAAATAAATAAACAGATAGATTCTTTATGTGACCGTGCAGATCTTTCTACCCAATTCAATATCCCCAGGATGGCAGAGGCCATTGCATTCAGCAAGAACATGGTTTTCTTCCTTTTACCTAAACTATTAAAAGCTAATAATTTTTTTTAACAGATGAAAACAAAGTGCTTTCTTCCGTTTATGAGAAGGAAGAGATTATTTCTTTGAGCGCGGGCTCTTGGCCAGGGAAGGAAAGGCAGTTGGAGAGTTTTCGACTTGAAGGCTTTTAGCCCAGTTCTTGGCCCAGGGGCTCTCTCTGGAATTGGTAGCACACTGAATACAGTAATAGCCAGTAGATGAAAATTAAATCTCCTTTTTTGGCCCCTGATTGTCTTTTTAAGGTTGCTTAAGCAAAAGTCCTATAGAGATCACAACCCTCCCATAGTACGTACGGTATTTATTTCTATGATTTCTCCCTTACTTGCGCCCTGACATTGTCATTAGCAAATGAGACGAAGGATTACTCAAGCGTCCGAGTCTGCTAGCCTTTCGATGCCACCCTGTCCTCAGTATAATGCCCATGGCTAGTGAGGGCCTCCGCCCTCAGCTTCTTTGGAATGCCAGTGAACCTAGCATCACTCCGCTGCCAATGGCCAAGTTCACTGGAACCTGCTTACACCTCTCTCGTCTTTAGCATTTCTCCTCCTAAGAAGATGGTTTGAAACAGGTCTGGCAGAACATGTTTGGGCTTTGCTGTTCTTAAAACGAACAGGCTTGGGCCTTAGCAACTTTTGGGTTGGGCACCTGCTGCGGCACCCCCCCCCCCACCCCCACCCCGTGCCCCGCGGGGCCATGGTTTTGTGATGCCCAGGCTCTGCCGCCCCCTGCAGGAAACGAACAGGGCGAGAGTCGCACATCCTGCCCGCCGTGGCCCTCCTTCCATCGGGTCTTCAGGCGGTGCAGTTCCTTTTTTAAAAACAACAGGAAACCATCCTTTTTTTGTGGAGGGAGTTACGGGGAGAGAAAATCCCTATTTTCTTCTGAATATATAGAGAGGAAGAATATTTAGTAATTGTGGTATTTTCCATTGTCAGTTGGTGTTATTCCCCTTGTCCTTAATTGAGGAAATGTGTCTTGTGGAAGAAAGACGACACCCCCGATATATTTCCATCTGTAAACTGTGACAGTGCTCGGACCATCTGTTCCGAGAGGCCCTGGTTATCCAGATGAAGATTCCCTGGATTGGAGCCTCTGAGGCTGCATCTAAATCTGTGGTGCTCAAGGGCAGACACTATAAATACATGTTTTTTAATATTTATTTATGTTGGGGAGACCGCAAGCTGGGGAGGGGCAGAGAGAGGGGGACAGAGGATCTGAAGCGCGCTGAGCGCTGACAGCAGTGACCCCGATGGGGGCTCGAACTCACCAACTGTGAGATCGTGACCCGAGGTGGTCAGACGCTCAACTGACTAAGCCACCCAGGCGCCCCTAGAAATATTTTTGTAATCACTAAAAGGAACTGTTACTTCTAAAACCTGAAAGAGTCGATGAGAGCGAAAGTGACCAGGAAGGAGCAGGACTGAAGTCCCACCCAGGGTTCTCCTGGGACTGAACACTGGTTGCTAAAGAAAGCAGTTTCTAGGGCCACGTTCACCCCGGAAGCATGCTGGCACATGAACTTGGGATATGGTGCCTCCTTTTTCCGCCTCGCTGTTATCTCTCTGTTTCCCTCCCATTTAATTCTTACCTGTGGCTGGCAGGGGTCACCTGAAGTTGGCCAAGTGGACCACAGAGCATCTGATGCCGTGAGAGTTGGTGGGAAAGATGTGGACGGGTGGGATGAACTGGATGTAGAGGCATATGTCACGGACCCGCTATCCTGGGCCCTGGGTGTGGGGATACAGGAGGATATCGGAAACCTAAGAACATACGCATAGAGTACTGTAGTCCAAGCCAGAGTAAGTGCTGGCAAAAGGCAAAGTGATAGAGTGAATCAGGGAACGTATATTTCACAGAGAAGCGCTAATGTCTGCCAACAATTTTGAGGCCCTATTAGAATTATTTTTTTACCCCTAGGCACCCAGACCTCTGTGCGGCCACAGAGCCTTAATGAAAATCGAGGAAGGTGTTTACGTTTTATTTTTCTGCCCAGTAAAGGTGACGGTCCCCATTTTTCTGAGCTGTGAGAAGTCCTACTGGGAAAACAGGGCAGGCTTTTCCCTGGAGGCGGGCCTGTCAGGGTTTATTGGGGGGGGGGGGGCGTTTGTAGTATTTTTAGGTGCCTTTGTCTCCAAGTGTTGTCTTTTAGGATAAAAGGATCCGGCCTGAGAACAGTGGTTCTCAGACTTAGGTGTGCATCAGAATCACCCGGGGTACTTGTTTGAAACCTCCCAAACCAGAATTTCCAGGGATAGGCCAGGCCTTGCCCCTCAGGTGCTCGGATGCCTCCTCAGAGCCTGAGAACCACTAGCTTAGAGGAAAGCGAGTCGGATGTGTGTAGGGGTCGTGGGCAGCTGCTCAGAGTGAGGAAAGAGCTACCCCACCAAAACTTCCTTCCCGACAGCCCCTCACCAGCACCCAGCGTCTCTACTGGTGCTGAGCTACGTGTTCCGTCCCTTTACGCACCCAACGTCCACCCCATGGCCTGTTTCCACTCGGTCGAGAGCGTGGCCATTGGGAGGAAACCCTACGCCTGGAAAGCCTCATTTGAAAAGAGAAGGGTCTCCCTGCACTGGCAAGGGGGGCCCAGCGGAAGGAGCCGGGCACGGGGTGGGGGGCACCTGGGACAGGAGGTACACACAAGGGCGGAAGGGCTTTCCAATTCCCTTTACGAGGGCTGGAGAGAGTACGCAGAAGTGGGTCTGGAGGAGACTTGAGTCGAATGAAGGTAGAGCTGGCGATTCTTCGGAGGGGATGATACCTACGATCGGCAAGACAGAGGGAGCAAAGAAACCCACGTCTGTACAAGAGGGAGGCTTCATTATGAGCGCCGAAAGGGAGCCTGTTTGGTGGGAACGGGGACCAAAAAGATTACCCCCAAATTGTCCTAAATGGCAAAGGGAGTCTGATCAGGAAGTGTCCGGGAATCCCTGTGCTAAAGAGAGGGAAAAGTACCCCTCCCCCAAAAGAACCTCAATCTCTAAATGAGAAATTTTAAGATCTTGTATTTTATGCTTCTGTTCAGGTGCGCGCGCTCACGTGTGTGTGTGTGTGCGCGCGCGCGTGCACGTGTGTAGACGGGAACATAATCTTCACATGGATTCTCAAGATCCTACCTCCCTTACTGGGGCTCCCGGGTGGCTTGGTCGGTTAAGCGCCCGACTCTTTGATTCAGGCTCAGGTCACGATCTCACGGTCCGTGAGTTCGAGCCCCGCCGTCTGTGCCGGTCAGCACAGAGCCTGCTCGGGATTCTCTGTCTCTGTCTCTCTCTGCCCCTCCTCTGCTCTCTCTCTCCCGTGCATGCCAAACAGTAAGTAAATAAACATTAGAAACAAATTCTGCCTCCTTTAGGCGGCTTGGAATCAAGTCAGGGCTCGCATGAAAGATGAGCGATTTCGGCTTGGTCGGCTTCTTTCCGAGGAACCGGCCCTGTGGACTGATGGGTCTGTGTGCTTACAGAGGCTGCTGGTGTGCCTGGAGGAGGCCATCTACATCCACAACATCAAAGACATGAAGCTCTTGAAGACCATCCTGGATATTCCTGCCAACCCAGCAGGTGAGCCCCAGAATCAGGGAGGGCCCCCCCCCCAAATCCCATATCCAGCGGCTCCTTTCACGGGCTGGATTCCCTCCTCAGTTGAAAACCGGAAGCAGTATTTGTGGGGTCTGAGTCCTGGTGGTGCTCAGCTTGGTGCTTTGCGTTCGTGGGGCCAGATTCCAACTATATCAGGCCCCACGTCCTCCAGCACAGTGGCGTGGCCACCACAGCAGCCTGCGAGAAACCCCTTCTGTCTGGGACCCACTCTCAGCGAACGTGTCAAGGCATTTAAGGCAGACGGGTAGGAGGCTTCATGCATCTGATGCTAAAAGGTGTTTACCCCTAATTATTTTCTGTGGTTGTTCAGGGCAGAGCAGGTGTAATGTTCAGAAGCAGGTCTTGACTTGGCGTGTCTGCACGAGTAGGAGAGAGGCTGTGAGGAATGCGTTTTATGAGGTTACGGTGAAATCTCTCTACTTGGGCGATGCGCTAGGATATTGGTTTTGAACTAAACTCTTCAGATATAATACCGTTTGGTAAGTTCCTCATGTTAAGAATGGACACTGATTGGTCTTGGTAGATTGAAAGAACAGATGACTTCCCCAAGCTGGAAGTCAACAAGAGGGGCCCCCGGGCGGCTCCGTCTGTCAAGCGTGCAACTTGGGCTCAGGTAATAATCTTGCGGTTTGTGAGTTCGAGCCCCGCATTGGGCTCTGTGCTGTCAGTGCAGAGCCTGCTTCGGATCCTGTCTCCCTCTCTCTCTGCCCCTCCCCTACTCATGCTCGCACTCTCTCTCTCTCTCTCTCTCTCAAACATAAACAAACATTAAAAAAAAAAAAAAGCAAACGAGAAGGAAGTCCTTCGTTGTGCGGGAGTGTGGGGAGTCGTCACACTAGAACAATTTGTGCGTCCAGTGATTCAGGTTAACATTTGTAAATTACATTCTAGTTTCTCAGTAAGCGACCGCTGCAGTTTACCGTAGTTTCCTAATTCTTTGACTTTCTCTGAATTTCAAGATCGGTTTGGCCCAACCCAAGTCACTAGGCTCTTTGGGCCTCAGTTTGTTTGTTTGTTTTTATCTGTAACATGGGATATAGTACTGCCCATCTCGCAGGATCAGCTGAGAATTACAAGAGGTTGTGTGTGTGAAAGCCACCCCCCCCCAGGCGGCCCTGGGGGTAAATCCCCGTGGCCTCCCCCCCGCCCCCCCCCCCTCAATTATACAGATGGCCCTTTGCTGCCAGCTTCAGTGCTTTAAAATCTCAGCTGTGAAAAAAGAGATTTTAAAAGATCAAAGCAGGGCGCCTGGGCGGCTCAGCTGGTTGAGCATCGACTCTTGACTGGCTCAGGTCATGATTTCAGGGTTCATGACATCGAGCCCCACATTGGGGCTTGCTCTCTGCCCCTCCCCCACTTACTCTCTATCTCTCAAAATACATAAAAATGAACCTTAAAAAAATAAATGATCAGGGGCGCCTGGGTGGCTCAGTCGGTTGAGCGTCCGACTTCGGCTCAGGTCGTGATCTCGGAGCACATGAGTTCGAGCCCCGCGTCGGGCTTTGTGATGACAGCTCAGACGGAGCCTGGAGCCTGGAGGCTGGTTTGGATTCTATCTCCCTCCCCCCCCCCCCCCCCCCCCCCCACTCACACTCTGTTCTTTCTCTCAAAACTGAATAAGCATTAAAATTTTTTTTATTTTTTGTTTACTTTTTTTTTTACATTTATTAATTTTTGAGAGACAGAGTGAGACAAAGTGAGAGTGGGGGAGGGGCAGAGAGCGAGGGAGACACAGGATTGGAAGCAGGCTCCAGGCTTCTGAGCCGTCAGCACAGAGCCCGACCTGAGCCTGGAACCCACACACCGTGAGATCATGACCTGAGCCGAAGCTGGAGGCTCAACCGACTGAGCCCCCCAGGTGCCCCAGAAAAAAAAAAAAATTTTTTTAAATAAATAAATGATCAAAGCCATTTTGGCCGCTCTAAAATTCTGTGAGATGATGACTTTAAAGCACATTTCATAAAATGGAGGAGGTAAGTGAAGGAGCTACGGGCCATCAGTGTTTTGTTCTAGGAACGTGAGGCTGAGCTGCTCTGGAAAACGTACGTGTTGCAGAGGCACCGTGCACCTGCTGCCACAGTAAGTGCCGCCAGGCACAGATGCACACACCCAGCAGGAACCCCAGATGTAGCCCACCGGTCCCTGGAGACCGTGTGCTGGGTGACACAGCCCAAGACAGGGGCTCCGGCACCTTGCGGGGCGAGGACCCAGCGCAGGACCCTGTAGTGCGGACAGTTCAAAGGAAGATGTGCTCTTCCCATAGGGCAGGGGAGGTGCTGCGGAATCTGAGCAGAACACATGGCAGGGGTGGGGGGGGGGTGGGGTGGACCTGAACTTGACCTTGACAGATTGGGGGCAGAGACCACCCAGGCGGCCTGGGTTCTCCATTTCTCTGGAAAGGCCGGGGGTTCGCACAGCCAGCACCCTCGCCAGTGGAGGGGCCTGTGTGTTAGCAGCGGTCAGTTTCACGTGCTTCTGCGGGGACATGCTTGGCCTGCCTGCAGGACTGGCCCCACTCCTCCCAGGAAAAGCACTTTCTCCCGATCTACTCTTAAGCAATGTTTAGCAAATGTAGCTGTTTTCCTTAGCTCAGAAAAGCCCTTGGTTGCCTCACTTTTTGCAGTTTAAACAGGGAGGAAATGGGACACCTGGGTGGCGCAGTCGGTTAAGCGTCCGACTTCAGCCAGGTCACGATCTCGCAGTCCGTGAGTTCGAGCCCCGCGTCGGGCTCTGGGCTGATGGCTCAGAGCCTGGAGCCTGTTTCCGATTCTGTGTCTCCCTCTCTCTCTGCCTCTCCCCTGTTCGTGCTCTGTCTCTCTCTGTCCCAAAAATAAATAAACGTTGAAAAAAAAAATTTAAACAGGGAGGAAAGAAGGTTGGAAAGGGTGGGCCTTTTGTGTTTTCTGTTAGAGAGAACGGGTGTTATTTGTAAAGGAATAATTTTATCTCGAGAAAAGTTAGAAACAGTGGGAGGTGTTTTTTCTGTCCCAGATAAACGTTATGAATGGATTCAAGGGCAGAGTTAGCATTTCCTTCTGAAAGACCACGCATGGGGTGGGTCGAAAGACCAAAATATGTCTTATGACACTTTTGATGTTCTTTGGAGAGATAGCCCAAGACTTTTTTTTCAAATGCTGAAATTTATAATTAGCATCTCAACTTCCACCGAACCCCCTTTGTGCTCCAGTAAAACTGGGATGATAACATTTACTCCGCAGAGTCATTCTGGGGAAGATTAACAGAGGGCAGGGAGTGAGCGAGAGCAAAGGCACGGAGGGCTCTCTGGGTCAGGCGGGCTCACTCACTAGCCCAGCCCCTGCCCGGAGGGTAGCCTGACACGGTCAAAGTTGCACTCGCAGTGACGTGCCCAGTTTCTTGCTCAAGAACAGTCAGCAGACTCTGAGCTGTCCAACCCAGGAATATAAAGTATTCAGTGACCGGGAGTCTCCTTGCTTCTCATTCCCTCATTTATTTATTTTCTAAATGAAAATATAAGACAGGAACTCCGGCTCTTGGTTTGATAACTCCTTATTGGGTTCACAAAGGAGACAGAGTCCCCCGTCCAATTGGCCGGAGCACACGGATTCTGAGTGTATTGAAAACTAGTGAACGCCAAATAAGTGACATACACAGAACTCTACCCTTGCTTCTACTCAGTATCCAGTGCAGCTGTAAATTTCCTTCCTTTTGTCTGTGTTCGTGTTGTGGCCATTCCTGTTGTGTCAAAGATTGCAGGCTGTTTCCTTTAAAGAGTTTGGCCAGTCGGGGCTCAGAGTTAATTTCCTGCTAGCACAGCAGTCTGTGTGCTGAGCAGTGAGGGTGGAGATCTCCATCCAGATCCTGCCAACTGCAGATCTTAACGACCTTCCACGAGTACTGAGGGAGCAGTCTATACCACACACCAGTGCGTGTAACAGAACAAAGTAGCAGTTTATACCCCAGCGAGTGCGCTTTCTGAGAAGGGTAATACGGATGGGGTAGATGGCTCTCCGTTTGCAGTCACCCAGAACATTTGCAAACACAGAGATTTCTTTCTATTTTTGAGAACTGGAAAACATATGCTGAGACAGTCATCAACCCAGAGGGAACCGCACTGTATAAATCACTGTTAACTTGCACTATAAATACCCAGGTGAGGACGATTTGGAATCCTAGGGCTTCCTTCCAATTCCAGCCGAGGACCCTGTTGGTCCTTGCACTGATAACAGGCACTTCTTTTCCAGCCGCAGAAGAATCACAGCCCAACAACTTCAGGGAAGTTACAGCTGCCAGTGATTTATGAGAATGTGTATCCATTCTAAAATAAATCCAAAAGCCACACCAACACCTAATTCCTATATAGAAAAAAGACTAGGAGAAAATATGCTCAAATATGGAGAACAGTGTGAAGCCTCTGAGTTTTAGAATAATGAGTGATTTTTTTTCCTCGCTTTCTATTTTCTGGACTTTGCAAATATTTTTACACTATGACTTTTCTGTTATAAAATGTTATCAGAGACAAAGCTTATTTCCTTCCTCAAGAGGGCTTTATGTGACATCTGTGATGGAAACAGAAGACGGGTAGAAAAGTAATATCTAAGCCTGAAGCAAACTCTTAATGCTCTCCCTGGGGGGCTTCAGAAGAAATAAAAATGCATTCTTATAGCTGGTTGGATTTGGCTGAGAACTGGACCATAGGAAACTGAAGGAACTCACAGTAAGCATTTCTGGGGACCTTCATTAAGTCCACAAAGGTTGGTGTGCAGGGTCCCTTGGCTAAATTGAAGCGAGCCCAGAGATGTGAGCCCAGAGGCGAAGCTCTCAGATGAGTGGTTATGTGTCAGAGTATGCCCGTCCCTGGCATCATCCTTTCCCTGTTAGAATCTAGGGTCACTCCACTCTCTATTAGACAGTACAGAAAGTTTGATGTCAGCTAAAGAAGTTGAAGCCTTTCCTCCTTTCTGGGATGTTTGCATTTTAATAACAACAACAACAACAAAAAACTCTGAAGTTCACCTCACACTGTCAGAATGGCTTTTGTCAAAAAGACAGAGATACAAAGTGCTGGCAGGGTGTGGAGAAAAGAGAACCCTCGTGCACCGCTGGGGGGAATGCAAACTGGTGCAGCCACCACGGAAAGTAGTACAGAGGCTCCTCAAAAAATTGAAAATAGAACTACCTTATGACCCAGAAATTCCACTTCTGGATATTTATGTGAAAAAAAAAAAGAAAGAAAGAAGAAAGAAAGAAAGAAAGAAAACATTAACCCAAAAAAGATCACCTATAGACCCGTGTTCATTGCAGCATTATTTACAATAGCCAATGGAACCATGTCCATTGGGTGAATGGATAGAGAAAATGTGTGTGTGTGTGTGTGTGTGTGTGTGAGAGAGAGAGAGAGAGAGACAGACAGACAGAGAGAGAGAATATTTGCACATATATATGTATATATACATACCTATATATATGCATATATGCATATATATATATATATATATATGCGCAATGGAATGTTATTCAGGCATTTAAAAAGAACTGTTGCCATTTGGGACAAAATGGATGGGCCGTGAGGGCATTATGGGGAGTGAGAGCTGGAGGCGGGTGAAATGGACAGAGGGGTGAAAAGGTACGAAGTCGCAGCTGTCAAGTAAATAAGTCACGGGGACGTCACGTACAGCATGGTGGCCGCATCGCTGAAAGTTGGTAAAAGATCTTTAAAGTTGTCATCGCGAGAAAAACACTTTCGTAACTGTGTGCAGTAGCAGCTGTTAACAAGACTGAGCACAGTGATCCTTTCACGATGCAGGACAAATAACAGACCATTATGTGGTGCATCTAAAACTAACATAACCTCATCTATGTCAATTGCACGTCAATTAAATTAACAAAAAACAAGACACCGAAACACGAAAGGGCAACTGAAAGTATCTGTCCAAGCTCTCTGCCCAAATACCTCCCATTCTCCCCGCCACAAAGATGGGCCTTGATATCTTCAGGGAGAGGGTGTCAGTAAATGAAGACTTCACGTCTTAGAATGTCAAAGCTGGGAAGATCGCTGTAGCCCCTTCAGGTCGCGAAACATGAGCAGGTGGCCTCCAAAGCCCTCCGATGACTCAGCCGGGGCCATACAGTAGATGGCAGGCCTGAGTCTTGACTGCCCGTCCTCAGCCTAGCCCTGCCAAAGGGATATTCTTAAAACACTGGCTTTTTTTTTTCTTAGCGAGGTTGAGCCCTAATTCACATGCCGTGTGATCCACCCACTTTAAACGGTGCACCATTCGATAGCTTTTAGTATAACCATTACCACAATTTGAGAACATTTTTCCTCACCCCAGAAAGAAACCCCATACCTTTTAAGCCATCACCCCCTGGATCCCCAGCCCAGATAACCCTAATCTACTTCATGTCTGTCTAGATTTATCTATTCTGGCTGTTACACGTAAGTGGAATCGTAATACAAAATGTGGTCTTTTGTGACCTGCTTTCATTTACATATTAGAGCATGTATTCATTCTATTGTCTAATAGTATTCCATCATAAGGGTACTATTTACCGCTATTCATTAGCTGATAGACATTTACATTGTTTCCACTTTTTTTTTTTTTTTTGGTGAGGGAGGGGAGAGAGAGAGAGAGAGAGCAGGAGCAGGGGAGGGGCTGAGGAAGAGGGAGAGAATCTTAAGCAGGCTCTGTGCTCAGCACAGAGCCCCACACGGGGCTCCATCTCACAACTGTGAGATCATGACCTGAGCCCAAATCGAGTCAGATGCTTAACTGACTGAGCCACCCAGGCGCCCCCGTTTCCACTCTTTGACTCTTACGATGTTGCTACGAACCTTTGTATACAGGTTTTTATGTGGCTGTACGTTTTCGTTTCTCCTGGGTACATACCTAGGAGTAGAATTGGGGGCTTATAGGTTACCTCTATGTTTAACCTTTTTAAGGACTGCCAGACTGTTTTCCAAAGCCATGCCTATCTTAACCTTCCCAGCAGCAGTGTAGGCGGGTTCCAATTACCTGCCTTTTTGATTATAGCCATCCTAGTGGGTGTGAGGTGATATCTCATCATGGTTTTGATTAACACTGCCTTTATATATATATATATATATATATATATATATATATGTATATATATACGTATATATATATATGTATATATATACGTATATATATATATACACATATATATATACGTATATATGTATATATATACGTATATATATATATACACACATATGTATACATACATACATATATATATATACATATACAATTTATTGTCAAGTTGGCTAACATACTGTGTCTACAGTGTGCTCTTGGTTTTGGGGGTAGATTCCCATGATTCTTCGCTTACATACAACACCCAGTGCTCATCCCAACAAGTGCCCTCCTCAGTGCCCATCACCCGTTTCCCCCTCCCCCCTACCCCCCTCAACACTGCTTTTTTTTTTTTAAACATTGTGCTCAGAAATGTCCAGCGCGTACCCACCACATTTGTAAGATCTTAACTCTTTGGTGGGGTCCTCAAGCCCTTCCCCTGTTGCCACATCCGGTCTCTCAACCATCTCTTCTGCTGAGCAGCCCTGTGGGAACCCACCGCGCAGGCCGCCCCAACCTCCCAATGCGCTTCCCTCCCTTTTCACGAGTTTCACAAGATCACAGTGCCTTCTGCCTGCCAGCTGCTCTCGGAGTTGCACTTGCGTGGCAAAGAGCCCGGAGGAGATGGGGCATTGTCGCCCGGGCAGAACTGGGGAGACATGAGAGTCCCTTCCTAAGGGTGGGGCTGAGAGTGATCGTGTACAGGCAGGGGTTGCAGGATGTCGGGGCACACAGGTAAGGGCTCTGGGCCCCGTCACTTTCCTCCCACGGTTCTGTATGTCAAGGGCTAAGGGCACAGCCCTGGCTATGTCCTCAACAAAGCCAGAGAGCAGGAGGGAGGACCTGGGTTTCGCTTCTCAACGATGGATTTTTTTTTTCCTCTGCTTTTCCCCCCAGCAGATTAGGTTGGGTACATTTTAGCCTAAAGTTTTTATTATGTAATTAACCCATTTAATATGCCGACTTGTCACAAAGATGTTGCAGTTTGTATTTAAAAAGATGTCTCTCTTGCCTAATCGCGAAGAGCTTGTGCTGCTAATGCTTTTGGTTCTAACAATTCTTTGAATTCACTTCTGTCAACATACACTTCTACTATTAATCCAGACCATTGTTGTGAAAATCCTTTACTTAAACGCTTTTCGGATTTAACCCCCCTTGAGTCTCCTTATAAACAAAAATAACTTAGGTCCGCTCAATGGTGTCATTGGCTGTTTACCCTTCCAGAATACTGTCAGGGCATCTTCAATCCAAAATGTCCGCTTTCAGGGCACTTGGGTGACTCGGTCAGCCGGTTGGGTGTCTGGCTCTTGATTTCAGCTCAGGTCGTGGTCTTGTGGTTCGTGGGGTCGAGCACCGGGGTCTTGTGGTTCGTTTGGCTCCCCACGGACAAGGCCGAGCCTGCTTGGAATTCTCTCTCTCCCTCTCTCTTTGCCCCTCCCCCACTCGCACTCTTGCCCTCTCTCTCTTTCTCTCAAAATAAACATTTAAAAGAAAGGCCCTCCTCCCTCAGATGAGCTTCCACCTCTGGGGGCCCCCATGTCTCTTCTGAAGGCAGGACGTTTGGCTTAGATAGGGGGCAGTTTCTAAATGGGTCCTTCCCCCCACCCTCCGCCTCCTGTTCTCCATCTGGACGTGACTGGCCAGCTGCAGGTAATCGCCTGCAGGAAGGCTACGACATGCTGCCTTTTCATAGCAGGAAGATTTATTTCCGTGAAGAGTAACTTCTCTTACAGCCTTGGCGGGTAACGCAAGAGAAGTGGATGTGGTTTCAGAGCCCGGGGGAGTAAAACGGCAAGAAGAGCATTTTCAGTATTCTGAGTTCGTATTGCTCCTCTGGGGAGAAGACACGGCTGGTCATGAGGTCATGAGGTCTTCCCCTGCGAACTTCAAGGGCGTAAATTAGAAGGTTTAGAAGAACCAACTCAAAAGTCAACATCGCCTAGGCTATTCCTCCCCTCGCCAGTAGGTGGCACTGGAGTCGCGCGGTTTTCAGATGCCCTTTCCAGGCAGGGTTTCATCCGCGGTTCATTCTTTGCAGGTCTCTGTGCCCTCTCTATCAACCATTCCAATTCTTACGTGGCCTATCCTGGAAGCCTGACCACAGGCGAGATTGTGCTTTACGACGGACACTCCCTGGTGAGCTGGCAGGGGCGAGGTGTGGAGGGAGAAGCCATCTTGGGTTTGGGGGGGGGGGGCGGTCTATCCTGGCCACGGAGGTGAGGTGTGGAGGACAAGGCAGTAATATCGCCCTCGCTGCCATCAGTCAGTGTGACCGTGAGGCAGCACGCCTGGCCCGGTGAGACATCCACGGTGTGGCGGAAACTGCTCGCCAGCTGGCGGCCCGCTGTCAGACTGAAGGTGTCCCGCTGTGCCATGTCACAGCCGGTGACAGTGTGCAGATGTTTCACATGCCCTGTCCCCTGCTCTCCGAGGCTTCACGGAGCAGGGCACGATGGCTGCGGGAAGTCACCCACCGCTGCGTGCGAGGACAGCCACGGCTGCATCGCCCGCGTGGGGCATGCGGCTGGCTGTCCGTCATCCCGAGGGCGGGACAAGGGGTAGCGACGGAAGGGCTCTGGAGGCAGAATCTAGATACACTCGGAAAGGATGAACGGCTTCTCTGGAAATGGCCGGTGGGAAGGGAGAGACAGGGCGCCCAGCAAATGAGGGAGGGTGTTTGGGAAGAAAAGAGAGAGGAGAGGGATCTTCCCCAGCACCGATATCCATTTTCCCTTGTTACCAACAGAAAACGGTCTGCACGATTGCTGCCCACGAGGGGACGCTGGCCGCCATCACCTTCAATGCCTCGGGCTCCAAACTAGCGAGCGCATCTGAAAAAGTGAGTTCACTCCCTGCACCTCGTGTTCAGGGGGCTCTCAGGTCAGGGCTCCGCTGGATGGCTCCCTCAGGGCCAGAGATCTGAAGAGAGGAGACTGGGGACAAGGACTGACTGGTCTCTGGACCCACTCAGAATCCATATCCGAGGGGAGTCTCTGACCCACGCACGCTGCGTAGACTGATACGTTTATTAATTCAACAGACCAAAGACCTGTGCTAGGCAGGATACGAGATATGTGGCACAGAAACTGGTGATCTTATTGAGAAACGTGTGTGCGCGTTATCCCTAGATGCAGACAGATTCCGCATTTCATAAGCAGTGTCAACAAAATGTTGTGCTGTTCAGAAGAAATTGATCTCTTCTGACTGGAATGGTCAGGGAAGGTGATCAAGTTGAATTTCAAATGCCACGAAGCACAAGTGGTTTTTGACAGGTACAGGCAATGTTCTAGGAAGCCCGAGCATTTCGAGCAAACACACACAGAGCCTTGGGGTGCAGGGTGGGGAGGGAAAAGGGACCCAAACGTGCCAAGAATTGCTTCTCTGGCAACGTACAAACAAAACCCCCCTATGCTCAACACTTTGTGCCTCCCCCTTAGAGACAGGTGTTCCACACCAATAAAACAAGCTCCCCTCTGAAGGGACGTCTCTGTCCGAGGCCATCAATGGTACGAAATGTCCACCTGCTTGCTTTCTCAGGGCACCGTCATCCGGGTGTTCTCTGTACCCGACGGGCGAAAGCTCTACGAGTTTCGGAGAGGAATGAAAAGGTCTGTGTTCACCGTGAAGCCCGTGTTACGGGACCCACCGGAGTCCCGCCCGCAGCGCAGGGCTGGCGGCCCGCCGGGGCAAGTGCGGAGGGTGGCTCTGTGCCCCCCTCTCCCCCGGAGGAGATATAACTGTACTTCCTCGGGTAACTGCCTTCGATGCCGTGCTGGGTGCTTCGTGCACCCGACAGCATGGCTGCTGGGTTTGCTTATTTGTTTGTTTGCTTGTTTATTCTGAGATGTGGGAGGGGCAGAGAAAGAGGGAGAGAGAGAATCCCAAGCAGGCTCCACGCTCTCAGCACAGGGCCCGACACAGGGCTCCACCCTGTGATCCCTGAGATCATGAGCTGAGCCGAAATCAAGAGTCAGACGCTTAATCGACAGAGCCACCCAGGCGCCCCCTCGGCTGCCGCTTTCACACAGGATTTCAGCCGTCAGAGCCCTGTTCCCAGGTGTGCGAGGGCAGCTTGCAAAGGAGAAATGAGAGGGCGAGCAAATCACCATCCAAAAGCAGCTTGTAAAGTGAATGGGCCGGGATCCTATTGGCTGCAGCGTTTGCAGCCCGATTGGTGCCCGAACAGCCCGAAAACTAACGAGATGCCAGAAAGGGGCGGTGCCTTGTTTCTTCCCGAGACAGGGACCCTTTACCAGTCCTCCCAACGCTAGTTTGTAAGTGTGCGTGATGCGATGTCAAGGAGACCTTAGAACACCCAGACTCTCCGGGACGCATTCGGTTCTCTTACCAAGCTGGTTTTTGAGCTATAAAGCGATCACCCTCATGCTCCTGGCTCAGTAGTCTGTCTGTACGTCGCTGTGTTCCCAGGTACGTGACAATCAGCTCCCTAGTTTTTAGTATGGACTCGCAGTTCCTCTGCGCCTCAAGCAACACCGAGACCGTGCACATCTTCAAGCTGGAGCACCTCACCAACAGGTGAGTAACTGCCAGACGCACAACACTCATCAGGCTGGAGGAGCCAGGCCCTGACTCGCCTGTGCCACCGCTGTCCGCACGAGCGACTCCTTATGAGTGCCACGCGCTCGGCTTTACTTGTCCTCACGGGAGTGGTGAGTGTCTGCCAGGAGAACCTCGGTAGTGGAACGCACGGGAGCGCAGACCCCGGGGCCGCCCTCCCGAGGTCACACCCCGCCTCTGCCCCTTCACGCGCTCCGAGACCCCGGCAGGTGATTTCCGCTTTCTGTGCTTTCGTACAAAATACTCAGCGGTGCGTCTCGGGCTTGTTGCGAGCGTTCGGCGGGTTCCTCGACCCGAAGCGTGTGGTGTAGCGCCTGGCACACAACGGGCACCAATAAGTATTCGGCATCAGCTACCGAAACACTAACAGACGAACCACTGCCATCGCGCCCATTTTCAGTGCCTGTGACTGTCCCCAGCTGGGTGGTAACAGAGTGAGAAATAAACCCCCGTGCTTCTGAGCTCCAGCCCGCGCTCCCCACCAAGCTCCGGGCCCGTAGACAAGGGGCCTCTCGGCAGGTGCTCCCAGGAGCACGCGGCCAGCCCGGTCCCTGAGGCGCTGCCCGGTGCGCCGAGCACGGAGGCGGCTGTGTGCCCCCACCCGTTGTCACCTCCCGGCGACCGGTGCCCGCCCCCTCCGTCTGGCGGCCGCGCTGGGATGGCGTTGGAGGACTGCGGGGGGTGCACCGGGTCCCCTCGAGTTCTCCCTACCGCCGCGGCTCACCAGGGACCAGGGTGGCTTCAGGGCTGTAATCGCACAGCGCCCGGGGCCTCCTGCCCGGAGGTTTGCTTCCCACTCAGTCTGGCCAGGGAGGCCCTGCCGCGGAGATCGCGGCGTCCTTCCGTGGGCCCGAGCCAGGCTGGAGCTTAGTTTTCCGAGTCCACACGGCGATCTCATCTCGTGCCCTCGCCTGGCCCCCTTGATAGGAGTCTGGAGACCAGCCGGTCCGTCACCTGCAACTTTTTTAATGTAGGGAAGCGGTCGCACGGGGAAGCTCTTGACAGCTTCGCAGTGGTCCTTCCGAAGGACAAACGAGTCCTCGATGCCCTTTTGGAGTGCCAGAATAGTATGTCCCGAGCCGTTCCAGGTGGGCAGAACATTATGCTGAGGGCACAGTTCCTTCCCGCTGCGGCGAGCGCCGCCCACAGCACAGGGCTGTGCCGAGCGTTGGCCCGGTGCCCACCTCCCTCCTCCCGTGCCTTGTCCCCGCAGCCGACCCGAGGAGCCCTCCACCTGGACTGGTTACATGGGAAAGATGTTCATGGCCGCTTCCAACTACCTCCCCGCCCAGGTGTCCGACATGATGAACCAGGACAGGGCCTTTGCCACCGGGCGCTTGCCCTTCTCTGGGCAGAGGAACATCTGCACCCTCTCCACGTACGTATGGCGCCACCCGCTGTCACAGGCACCACCTTCTACGGCTCCGTTTGCCCAAAGCGCACAGATCCCCGAACACGCACCAGGAGAAAAAGAAAGAAGGAGGCCCCGAAGAAGGGCCGTGGCCGTCAGCCGCCGCCCTCTCTGGTCGTCACGTGTGTTCTGGGGGGGGGGGGGGGGGGGGGGCCCCCCCGCGGCCGCGAGCCGGCGTGGGAAATGGAACCTCGTGGTTCTGCCGACGCGGTCTCGAAAACGGGTCCCGCTCGTCTAAGTAACTCTGTAAAAAGACTCCGGCTCCGTAGGTTCCGACGCCTGTGGGGTCGACAGATGTTTTGTCCAAGGGGTTTGAAGGAGTTTAAGGAAGGCGAACGTTTTTTAAAAGTTCATAAAACGAGCCAGCCGATTTTGTCCTTTGTCCTTTCCGTCACGGTTAAAGGCAGAAACACGCATAAGCCAGAGGCCATGTCCCACCCAGGTCCGCTGATTTCCTCGGTGGCACCTTTTCAGAGTAATAGCAGACGCACACGTCGTTTGTCTCGTCCACACAGTTGTCTTCCAAGATGAGAAATAATCCTCGAGGTGGATCACTAGGTCATAATGCCAAGAAATAGCCAGAAACCCAGGATCTGGGGCCAGTGGGCCGGGTAAAGGGTTCCTGAAGGCAGGAGAAGGAGCCCGGGGCCACGGGGTGGGGGAGGCTGTGTCATTTGAAGCCAACCCGGTTACCTGCCTCTGTTGAGGTCACAACACATATTTTACTTGGCTCTTAGGATCCAGAAACTGCCAAGACTCCTGGTGGCGTCTTCCGATGGACACCTTTACATCTACAATTTGGACCCTCAGGACGGAGGAGAATGTGTCCTAATCAAGACCCACAGGTGAAGAGACTAGTTTTCAGAAAGCCTCTTTAAGAGCTGGTTGTGTAAAGCCGTCACGTGGCCAAGAACGACAAGCTTCGGTGCCCTGCTTGTCTGTCGTCCTGGCTGGTGTTCTCGGTGGCCCACTTCTAGTGGGCACCCGCTCCTCGCTGGGCTCCACGTCAGGCACCCCCGCCACGCTGTAGGCTTCTGGAAGAGTTGCTGAGATGCGTAATGTGCACTTGAAGCAGAATGACTTCGTACGGCCCTTTCCTCCTCATACGTTCCCTCGTACATACTGGGAGCTCCAAAATGTGGGCCAAAGGGAATTGAAAAGTTCTCCTGACATCTGTGACCTCTTGACAAGGTGACCTCTTCCTGCTGTGACAGGACCCCACGAGCTGCCACCGCCCCCTCCCCTTGGCCCGCGGAGCCCCCCTTTGTGAGCGAGTCTTAGCATCCTGGCCAGAGTGTACCAGAAAGAGCAAAGGGCCAATCTTCATTCAGTCAGTACAAGAGAAAGGGGTCGTTGTGAAGTTGCGTGATTGACCCCAGCAGTTCGAGGTTGCTGTTTAGGTCATGTGACCTAGTAGTGTACTCATCAGTCCTTTTTCTTTTTTAAGTTTATTTATTTTGAGAGAGAGAGGGCGAGTGCACGAGCCGGGGAGGAGCAGAGAGAAAGGGACAGAGAAGCCCAAGCAGGCTCCACGCTGTCAGCACAGAGCCCGATGTGGGGCTCAGACCCACAAGCCGTGAGATCATGCGAAACCAAGAGTCAGACGCCTACCCGACTGAGCCCCCCAGGCGCCCCCAATAGGTCCATACTTTAAACTCAAGGGGGCAAGCCTGAGCTTCCTAGTACTTTTCCTTCTGGAAGTTTCCTGCACATATGATGAGCCCTTTTTTCTTTTCTCCCCCTCCCCTTAATTGCTGCCATTAGCTTGCTTAGCTCAGGAACAACAGAAGAAAACAAAGACAATGACCTCAGACCTCCATTACCTCAGTCTTATGCAGCGACCGTGGCCAGACCAAGCACGTCTTCTGCCTCTACCGTGCCAGGTGAGTGGCCGTGGGGGCCTGGCTGGGGGCGTCGTGGGGGCCTGTTTCTGACGGCAGCTCTTCTGTCTTCATGGTCACTCACCTGTGGACAGAGCACTCTTCCCGAACCACGTCTTTCCCCCCAGGTGCGGCCCTGAGAATAGCCTTTAAACCCAGGTCCCTAAACCTGGCAGGCACGGCCCAAAATGGCTGTCTCCCTCACACGTAGAGTCGAGGCTTCGCCTCTTTGAGAATTGCAAACAGGTGGAAAGTTGGAGGGGCCCGGGGTGGAAGGGTGGGCGAGGTCAGCCCATCCGGGGGCTTCGAGACCCTAAGCGGTGGGGATTCTGACTCACCGGAAGCAGTCTCTCCATTCGAAAGGCAAAGGTTGGCCTCCATGGTTTCCCTGGAGGTCCTGTCCCGGGGTCAGAGCGTCACAACAGGCCGGGGGGCTTCCCTCATGTCTCACTCTTGCTTTCCAGGTTATTCTGAGGACGGCGGGGCCCTCCGAGGAGAGGTTATTCCTGAACATGAGTTTGCGACGGGACCAGTATGCCTTGACGACGAGAATGAATTTCCCCCTGTGAGCAGTAGGAATCCCTAAAAGAGCGGCCCAGTCTGTGTGCTGGGAGGGAAACCTTCCCCTCGCGCACGAGGCGAGGTCACTTTCCCGGTGGTCTAGTCCTGTAACAGCTAACCTCCTCCCTCCCGTTGAGAAAGCCACAGACGGCGTGCCGTGCCGTGTGCTTCAGACCCTGTAGACTGGCCACCAGGTGTCGGGCTGAACACGGCAGCATTAGAATAACACCGGATACTAATGGGGGGGGGGGTCTCGGCGGCCTCACTACGTCCGGAGGCCTGGAACCCTTAACTTGGCTTCGTTAGCACTATCTCTGCTGCTCGCAAGGCAGGAATTCACGCCTGCATCAACTCCTGTTTTCCTGAGGCTCCTAAGGATGTTCTTGTGGAATCCTGCCACCTTTTTGCTAACGACGATGCTCTAGCGGGGCTGGGCTGCCGCTCTCTGCAAGCCAGCCGGACCCTCACCCTCCTCCCGGCTCTGGTGAGGCGGACCCCAGGCTGCCAGCAGCCGTGCGGAGGGTGGGAGCCCCCGGGGGAGAGCTCCCCTGCGTTTCCCTGCACCCTGCTTCAGCTGTTCCGGTAGCGAGAGCCCTCAGGGCTGGCTGGGTGCAGAGCTTGGCTTTTTCTAGCGTCCCTGTCCGGAGCGAGAGGATTCTCTCCCTGGGTGGCCGCCAGGGTCTTAGCTTCTGAGGCCTCAAGCTTCCGTTGAGAGCAACGCACGGAGCGGGCTTGTGAGCTGCGGTTAGCGAATGGCACAGAGGGCGAACCTGAACTCCTTTAGAGATGGGAGCGGTGCGCGGGCCAGGACTTAAGAGAGTCAACTCTGTGACCCCCGCTGGGGCCAGAGAGCAGCAGCCACTTGGGCTTTGCCTCAGAGCCCGTTAGGTCTTAGTATAGAATGTTTGCTCCTGATCCTTTCGTGTCCGTGGAAGTTCCATCTGCAAAAGGATGGGGTGCAAGTCTAGCTTCTTTCTTATATAAACCTTGGGACAATCTGATGAGCCCAGTCAGCCTAAAAAAAAAAAAGACTGTTTTGGGTCCCTCTTTGCATCATTAGAGGGCTGGCTTTGTGCTTTCCCATAAAGGCTTTACAGATTGTAGCTTGAAATCTACGTTCCGGGCTTTGAACCGGCAGATTGCCAAACACAATGCCAACAAGTCGTTTATATGTTAAGCGTGGAGAGCGGTGGTTCTTAAAAATACCAATTCTAAGGATAGAAACAACTGTTGGCTTGCTGCCTCCTGATAAGCCAGGGTTTGCCTTTGGGTTCTCATGCCCGAACTAGCCATAAAGGGAGTTCTTCTGCGGCCCCCCCACCCCAAAGCTGGTGGTCATTTCCCTGCAGCTGTATCTTCTAGGAACCAGAATAGATCAGATGCCCTAGGGATAGATGTGTCCCACGTGTCCAGGTTTGGAGCATTCCCTCATTAGGTTCCATTTCAGTGGTTTTGGTGAAAGTCTGTGACTGCTAGAAAAGATTATTAGATTATTAATTAGTAATCAAAGTGAGCCCTACAAGCTCTTGTACTTACAGAATTGGGGTACTGCAGGTCTTGGCATGGAGGAGATGGGCCCCTGCCAAAGAAAGCCTGCATAAGATAATAGGTACACTGTGCAGATCATTTGCCTCGAGCTTTAAAAAAAGAAAAAAAATAGAGACGCTTAAAAACGAGTGCTAGAACCTATCAAGAGGCCTGTTCACCTAAACACTGCCAGGAAGCTGGCTATGAGCCGGCTGTCCTGTCTCCCTCTTAAGGATCAGATGAGTGAAACCTGGTTTAAATTGCATCCGGGATTTTTATTTATACTCGAGGAAGGCTTCCTGCCAGCGAGACCACTGATCACTGAATGAGGCCCCTGTTAGACCCTAGAGCTGGTGGTAGGGGTCAAGAAGCCCATCAGACCCCAGGCCTGCCCTCCAGCCTAGAGGCAGACGGGGAGGAGAGGGCCATGCTTCCGCGAGCTCCTGACATCGTAGGAGACGGCCTTCTCCACCTCACCGCACCGCACGGGGACCAGGGGCGTGAGTGCCACTGGGATGTCCTCTTGACACGGACCACCTCACGCCCTCATTGGCAACGATGTCCAACTGGAGACGAGATCCTGGGCGACTCCCCTCTCTGCCTTTATTTTGTATCTTGTCCAGAATTCACATCTCTACCCACGTCCCTTAAAAACTTCCAGGATTGAGAAAGGATCTTGGAGTCTCCGTTTGGTTAAAATCACTTCTCTTTCAGTTAACTAAGAACATGGGCTTGCCCAGATAATCTCGTACGGCCCTCCCTGGGCCTTTGCCTTCGGCACACAGGTCATCTCAAGTGGGTCTTTTTTGTTTTCTAAGTATACTCGCACTTCCCTGGATATGATCGCTCTTATCTCCTTGGGACTTACTTTGCTCCATAAACAATGAAAGGAAAGAGAATTGATCGTTTCTGGTCCCTTAGAAAGACGCTGTGTTCAGGAAGATAAGCAGCTTTTGTCTCAGCAATACACCAACCTTTACAAGTCTGCATATTTTCCGACACTAGTCTGCTCTTGTGAGCAAGAGTAAGCAAATTGGGACCAAGGGTATTTACTGACTTTAGTAGTGACTTAACAGTCTGTGTTTACAAGTAAGATGAGCCTTTTAAAAAAACATGCAATACCCATATAAACACACACACACGTATTTTAGACGTAGTCAGTTTTTTTGGAAACCGTGCCATACTCGTCTATACCGAAGTAAGATGGGTGGATTTTCTGTGGCCGTGAGTGAGGGTCGGTCCGTGGATCTGCAGCGCCCAGCCTCCCCCTGCTGACCCCTCGTGGGCACAGATCTGTTGATAACCCAGCCTGCCTACCAGTCTCTTCCCGGAAAGAGTTAAGGCCGTTCTGTTTTGATTTTGGTAGATTATCTTGTGCCGTGGAAGTCAGAAGGGCAAAACGAAGCAGTCATGATGAGAAGCACACCTCAGAAAGCAGGACACCCCCTGTCAGGTGGTTGTGGAGAAAACAAGGAAGGTGGAAGAATGGAGTACAATTGTGTGCGCAGAAAGGGGGGCTGGAATCCCAGGTGCCACCTGCTTAAGCCACGGGACGCGGTCCACTGCTCACCAAACTCTCCTCCGCCCCGGTTGCCAGCAGGCGTGGGAGAGACTATATGAAATATGTTACAGCCATCGCGTCGATGCTCACTAACCACGTTGGTCTGTAGCCGGAACTTTATATGAACAAGGGCATCCTTTTTAAATGTATGCCATGTAAAAATGTACGTATAGGAAAACCTCTTTGAATTGTATTTCTTGTATATGGCATATAGAGAGACTGCTTTTAGCCAGGCAAAGTATTTTTGCAGTGATTGGAATGAATCATTTATTACCTTGGAGTCCCATTTAGGACACTTATAATAAAATCATGGCAATGTGTTTTTGAGGTTTTAGACGTTCATTTCTTCCTGGTTTTAGGAGGCAGAAGGAATGCTTACAATCTTTAAAATACCATCATTTGATCTTTAAGGGGGAGCGAGAGGAGACAGGGAGTGCCACGGATGTATCCGTGGGCTCACCTGCTCTGAGACCCAGAAACGTCTAGCTTTGTCTAGTCTGCACCTGTGCTACTCAGGGCATTTCCCCCAGGAGCTGCCCGGAAATGGAGCGTCTCGGGCAACTACTGAGTCAGAATCTGCACTCTCGAGGGATCCCAGGTGACACGTATGCGTATTAAAGATGGAAAAGTGCTGCCCTAGATCCCAGCTGGCATGAATCTATGCTACAACGACCAGCAAAACTGGGTGCATAGAAAGGAAAGGAAACTAAAATGCATCCAGTGCCTGTTCCGCGTCACGTGATGTGGCAGTCATTTGCATACAGTGCCTCCTTGGTCCTCAGAATGAGCTCGAAAGCTGTGGGTTCAGTGACGGCCCACGTTCCGAAGCTGGGCCCTGAACCCGGCCTGACTCCAAAGCCTGTGTGCCTTTCCCTACAGCTCGGCTCGGCACAGCCGTCCCCACCCCCCTCCCAAGGCGGCATGCAGGGAGGACAGTGGGGGGGGAATGGGTCAGGTGGTGTGACAGCGGCAGGCCTTTCGGTGGGGATCACAGCAGGGGGTCACCGAAGGATCCTGAGTGTAATCCGCCCTGGACGTCTTGTCACCAGCAATGTCCACAAGCACATCCGCCAGGACCTGTCTGACCTCGGGCAAGACGCGCTCGTACTCAGCACTACCTTCTTCTAGAGGCTCGGCTTCTGCAACATCCTCTTCCAGGTTAAAAATGAGGGGAGGCTCATGAAGCCGCGGGGGCCCGGCCTTCCCGTCACAGGCTTTGGCTCCGCCTAGAGAGAGGGTGACAGCAAACACCCCATCAAACCCAGCTTTGGCCCTGTGCTGGAAAGAGGAGAAGGTGATGGATTATAAATCGAGGCAAACAGAGCAGGACTCGTATGTTCGAATGACTGTTCTCCCCGTCAAAGAAAGCGCCTTGGGGTTCCGGCTGCTCATCCCAGGGATGCTCCTGCCTTCCAGAATGATCTGGAACTTCTCCCGGACTTGCCTTCAGGGCCCGCACAGCAGCCAATCGAGTATCTCCCGTCTCCACCCTTGGCGAGTAAATTCGGTTTTTTCTTTTTTTCTTTTTTTTTTTCCTCAAAAATTCATTTCTGGAATACCAGAGATACTCAGTTTGTGGACTGGGCGGGAAGGCAAGGTGAGTAATTTCACTTTGGGTTGTAGTTGAGACTCTTGTTGAAACCAGAATCTAGGGCGCCTGGGTGGCGCAGTCGGTTAAGCGTCCGACTTCAGCCAGGTCACGATCTCGCGGTCCGTGAGTTCGAGCCCCGCGTCGGGCTCTGGGCTGATGGCTCGGAGCCTGGAGCCTGTTTCCGATTCTGTGTCTCCCTCTCTCTCTGCCCCTCCCCCGTTCATGCTCTGTCTCTCTCTGTCCCAAAAATAAAATTAAAAACGTTGAAAAAAAAAATTAAAAAAAAAAAGAAACCAGAATCTGGCTGTTGAAGCAGCCTCAGGGGAGCAGGAACAAAAATGGAGAGCGGCATCCTTAGCTGTCACGACTCAGGTTCTTTTCCTTTTCCATACAAAAAGTAGTTCAGGCATCTGATAGAAATCAATGTAATGCAACTGAGTCACCAGAAGGAGTCAAGGCAAAGGACGGCCATCAGAAATACAGGAACTCCCGGGGTGCCGGGGTTGGTCAGTCAGTCGGTTAAGCGTCTGACTTCGCTCAGGTCATGATCTCACAGTTCGTGAGTTCGAGCCCGGCGTCGGGCTCTGTGCTGACAGCTCAGAGCCTGGAACCGGCTTCACGTTCTGTGTCACCCCGTCTCTTGGCCCCTCCCCTGCTCATACTCTCTCTCTCATACACAAAAATAAATAGTTAAAAATATATTTTTTAAGAAATATAGGAATTCCTGAACACCTACTTTGCCCCCGAGCTTCTTAGCAGCCAAACCAGAAGGTGGAAACTTATCAATTGCTCCTTCTCACTGAGGTGTGAGAGAAATTTCTCCAGTGGCTCCTCTTACAGGGAGAGAAGAATGGGCAAGTCACACAGCCCTTCATTAATGGTTTTCCTCTCGTGGTTGACATTTGGGTCGGTCAGTGGAAAGCTGAGAGTCACTGTCTTTGCCTAGAATTTGGCTCTTCTTCATTGCCAGTCAAGGGCACGGGACATGAGGTTTGCAGTCAGTCGAGCAAGGGTTTGGATGGACTCCTTATAAAAATTAAAGATTTCCACTTCACAGAATAATGAAATAGCTTGCATAGGACCCCACGTGGGTAACAATCACAAATTCTAGGCAACAAATTTAGGGGAAAAAACCCCAACAACTGAAGGCACCAGAAAATCACGGAGGCAGGCAGAAACAAAATAATTTGATCATTGAAAGGCAGAGGTCACCATGGGTTGGGTCTGTGTTCAAGAGTTTCATTCCCCTGGGGACACTGCCCAGTCTGTGCAGTCCGGGCCCAAGAAGACTATCCTCTCTTTGGCTTGGGGCATCGGGGGAATATCAAGGTATCAGAGCTCAGGACTCTCACAACGGAAGAAAATCGATGGGTGAAATCCGGGAAGGAGGGAGCCAGAGGGGGGGGGACGCCTCAAAATCTGTGAAGAAACCTCCTCCAAATCTTTCTCTAATCTAATGTAGTAGATAGAGGTCAATACAGCTCGTTTATCCAAAAGCAGCTTTAAGTAACCAGGATGCAGACTTTCCAAAGAGGAAGGGAAGGGAGGGATTAGAACATGTCACACTCTCCACCCCCGGCCCCCAGCTGTTGAGATGTCTGTCGTCCTCATCCTCGTGCTAACTCTGCCGGGACTTTGGTGACTCCTCAGAAGAGGCCTCCCCTGGGCATCCTAATTCTTGTCTGATTGTGATGGTTTTAAACGGTCCGATTACTTCATAGTAACATTTAGGATGCCAGCACTGTGGTCCCAAGGGCTTTTTTGGCAAGGTCTTGACTTCTGAAATTAACTCAGCCTGGAGAAGCCATACCTCTGAGATAATGTAATGTAAGGACTGTAATCTAGAAATTTTCCATCCGAAAGCATAACAAATATCTGACTGGTTTGCATTTTAGGTTTTGGAGAATCAAAAGAGTCTTTGTGGCATTTTTAATATCCCTCAAGTTCTGAACTCAAAGAACCTGTGTTTTTATGGCACATTTTCTTCAGGATCACGTATTTATACTCGGGGAAAATAATTTCTGTTATTATATAATGGTTTGGAACACTCTCACATTAAATAACTGAATCAAATTGAAATCCACACCAGGTCCCGGGTCTGGTTTTGTTTTGTTTATGTTTTTGTTTGTTCGTTTTTCATTCACTCGGAGAAAAATTTTAGGGTTCCTGCGGGACACGAGACACTGTGCTCAGCACTTAAAGACAACAAAAATAAAAGATCTTACAAAGCTCTGGGTTCAGAGAGCTCAAAACTAGTAAGGGAGGGGCGCCTGAGTGGCTCAGTCAGTTAAGTGGCCGACTTCGGCTCAGGTTATGATCTCACGGTTCTTGAGTTCGAGCCCCGAGTCGGGCTCTGCGCTGACAGCTCGGAGCCCGGAGCCTGCTTCGGATTCTGTGTCTCCCTCTCTCTCTGCCCCTGCCCCACTCGTGCTCTGTCTCTGTCTCTCAAAACTGAATAAACGTTAAAAAAAATAAATGAAAAAAAAAAAAAAACTAGTAGGGAAAATAAAACATGTACCCCAATGGCTGGCATATAGGGCAGAACGTGATCATCACCAGAGTTTCTCCAGATCGTACCCAGCTGAGAAGATGAGAGGGAGTTTTATGACCGAGGTACTAGGATTTGATGTGAGGCCCTAAACGCTGAAAGAGATCTTGATAGAAGGCCAAGGAAGAAGGTGGTTGCTCTTGGAGAACCGACACCAGAAAAGTCGAGCGACCCGGTATGGAAGGAGCCTGAATTCTGTTCGCAGCCAGAAACCCCTGGGAAGATTTTGAGAACCATCCTGACCCAGCATCACATTTCTAAAATATACATTTAAGACCGTCACCGAGCGAATCAAGAAGCAGAGAGACTTCTGTCGGTTTGCTAACTAGACCTCTAGAGTCTGTTCTCTGAAACAGTCTATTGTCTAGTAAATTACACCTTAAAATATCTCCAAGCTTCCATTTAACATTCCGCCAAACTGGCATTTAAAGCCTAACAGTGGAGTGAGAGTCCTTCTTGTGAGTGTGCGGACTAGCTCTGAGCTTGCTAGAAATTCAGGCGCAGGGTACAAAGACCTTGTTTTCGTATTTGTGGGTGCAGAGGGCCTGTCCTGGGGTGGTGGGGGGAGGGGGGGAGGGGGGTGCTGAGGGCTCCCTGAGGGAGGGCAGCCCACACTCACTCCTGGAGGCCTGAGGGTGGATCCAGGTGGGTGCCCCTGACTCACCGGTGACGTAGAAGGCCTTGTGTTGTTCCAGGCGGACGGTCTGAAGGGCTCCATACTCTCCGGCCGCCCCACTGTTGGGGTGAAACAGCACCTGAGACAGAGCAGCAGAGAGAGCTTCCTAACCCGTCAACCATGCCCCCCATGCTTCCTGGAAGGCATTCCTTTCTCTGTCACGGTGGCCGGTCCATCCCACCCGCCACGGCCCCAACCACTGACAGACACAGGCCTGTAGTCCACGCTGGCCAATGCTTGGGGGGGGGGGGGGGGGCCGGGGGGAGAAGGGCAGGAAATAGCTCCTTGGCAAGTGAATTAATCAGAATGGGCTGCAACTCTGGTCAGACTCCTAGGCCCCCGGTACCAGCTGCAGAATTTGCAGGGTCCGGTGCAAAATGAAAGAGAGAAACCTCGTTCGAAATCGAACAATTTCAAGGCAGCACAGTACGTGTTCTCTAAACCAGGCGCAGGACCATCCTGAGGGCGGGGCCGCAGGTGGCTGTGTCCCACCCTTCAGGTTCAAGACGGGGCCTGGGAATCTGCACGGCTTACAGACAGTCCCAGGGATTCTGACGCGGGTGTTCCTTGGAAACACGGCTTCTTGGCATCCAGTTAATGTTCTAACTCTCCCTCAAGCAAGGATGGCATGTCCTTGAGAGGACAGCTCGGCGTGATTTCTGCAGAACTGGGCACAGCCTAACCTCCGAACACAGATGTCCTCACTCCCTGACTCAATCCTGCCCTCCTCGGACTGAGGAAATTCCCCGTCATCGGGCCATCGATGAAAGAATCGCCCTACAGAATGGAAACACCGAATTCAGGCGTGCCAAGGGCAGGATTCGGTAGAAAATAAACAACCAGTGTCCTTGGTGGGTTGGTGGGTTGGTGCTGGATGCGTGAGACCGCCCTGGTATGAATCATGACCAATATATATCACTGCAAAGACGCTTATGTGATTCAAAGTTTCCATGGGGCTATTAAAAAAAAAAGAGCGAGAAACATCTGTTGGAGCAGTAAACAGCTGTCCCCCCAAGTTTTTCCGGGCTCTCAGAGGATGCCACCGAGGGCGGAGTCCCTCCCGCACCTGCAGCTTCCGTGCTGGGCTCTCGTGACAGTCCCTGCAAGGTCCCCAGCCAGCATGATGACAGCAGGCTCCTTCCAAACAGGAAAAGAAGTCGTAACTCAAAACTCACTCCTCTGCCCGCCCAGCAGGAAGCCAAGCCTCTCACTGCGGGAGGCCACTGGGTTTCCTTCTGGCGGAGGCGGAAAGTGGGGGGACTTGGAAAACCTACTGTCCGCCCATCAAGGAGGTCCTCAGACCTCCAGAAGATGGGAGTCGCGGTCCGCTGGTTCAAATCGTTGACAGTATTTGGGTCTCGGTGACAGACACTCCAGAAGGGTGGGCTGCTAGGTCCAGGATATTTGTGCAGCGTTACCAGAGGCAACTTCCAAAATCCAAGAGGAAGAGGAAGCAAAACTTCCGGATGGCTCCCTCTCAGAAACAGGAGGGCGTGGGTTTTGTTGTGCAGACTGGCCACGGCGTTGTTTACACCCACATAGGAAGAGGGTTGGCAAACTGATACATGAATCACAGCCTAAGACAGGTCCTCTCCAGGGTGGGTCCCCACTTCAAAGATAACTTTTATCTTCTGCAGACATGTTGCACCCTCTTGGTTGCCTTTCTTACCTGTTTGCTTTGTTTCATTCTGTTTTGTTGTTTGAAGCAGGTGAGCGGCTCCCTTAGGCCCCAGAGGCTGGTGCTTATGTGGTAACGCCCCCCCCACACACACACACAAAAGGAAGGCTCCCCAATCCCATCAGGTGGGGCTGCAAAGCCGGCTCCAAAAGGGGGCAGCCACTCCGGATGGGGATGGCGTCTTTCACCACTAGGGGCCTCCCTAAGAGAAGTGATCAGACAGACGGAGCTCCAGAGACAAGCCCCTGCTCAGGTCTCCCCGGTGTATGGCCTCCAGGGAGGTGCCACGCATTTTCTGACCCACAGCAGCCCCAGACCAGTCTGCACTGGCAGGTGAAGAGCCATTAAAGACGCCTTCCTCTTTGTGGGCAATTTTTGGCCTCAGCGGTTGGCAACCCGGGGCGGAGGTACGACTTGACCGGTGGTAACGTGACGAACTCCAGCTTCCACCAGGGAGTCAGGCAAGCACGAAGCAGGATCTCTGAGGCGCCCTCCCCCGCCCTGCGGTTGCCCTCCGTGCCCAGCCCCGGGCCCATCAAGATGAGAAGCAGAAGGCTCAGCAGAATGCAAGAGCGGGCAGCCTGGCCGCCTCTGTTGCACATTTTCAACACCACCCCACGTCCCACCCGTCCTCGAAGCGGGTAGTGAAAAGACCGCACAGTAGGAAAACTGCAGACCCATTACTTGCCCTTAAACCTGTCCGCACGGGGCCTGGGGGGGGGGGGGTGCGGGGAGGGGGGTGCCAAGGAGCTACGCCTTAGCCTTAGGTGGCTTCAGCTCTTTACCCGGGCGGTTACTTCATTTGCAAAATAGGGAAGGACCGAATGGCTGAGCTGTATTTGCATATTGTTTTGAGATGAGCATCTGAGGAGTTACTCTGAGCTTCTTGAAACTGGAATGGTTTTCTAAACTAAGCCGTGTTAGAATCCTTGCACGCCCAGAACACACCTGAGTGTGAACACAACCAAATTGTGTTTAGTAAAAATTACATGCGGTGGCGCCTGGGTGGCTCCGTCAGTTAAGCCTCTGACTCTGGCTCAGGTCATGATCTCACGGGTCGTGGGTCCGAGCCCCGCGTCGGGCTCTGTGCTGACAGCTCGGAGCCTGGAGCCTGCTTCGGATTCTGTGACTCCCTGTCTCTCTGCCCCTCCCTGACTTGTGCTATCTCTCTCTTTCTCTCTCTCAATGATAAATAAACGTTAAGAAAACATTGCTTTAATAGAAAATAATAAAAGTTTAAAAAAAAAATCACACGCGGGGACCTGTATTTGTACGTATACACATATGTACGTGCGTGTATGTCTCTATCATCACTCACTCTACCTCCCGGCCTCCGACCTCCCCTCTGTTCAGCAAATTCTGGACGCCTTACTCTAGTCTTTTCAGCAGGTGAGCAGAAAAGACCAATTCAGGGCCAACAATTACCTGGGTTGCCCTCAAACTCCAAACAATCTTATCTGCAGCATCTTCACGGCTCTGCAGGGAATCCAGAGCTCTGGGAGGCTGGGTATAGCCTGCAGGTGCCAGCATCCCAGGGACTTTGCTCTTGAAGATGCTATCAGCAGCTTCCTGCAAGCAGTAAGTGGTGGCTGTTTCCTTCTGGGCCCTGCGGTGTGGTCAGGGAGCAAGCCAGCCCCCACTGCAGCCGCCTTACCACACATCATCTGTCCCCACGAAAACCCCAACCAGTGTTGGGGCCTGCCTCTACTCCCCTTGCCGGGCCCAACCCTGTCGGACACTAGGCCAGTAACTGTTAGGCCCTGAGCATGACTCTGCAGAAGAAAGAGCTGCAACTAGAGAGAGGGACCGCTCTCCCCTCTGAGAGCGGAAGTGAGCGCGAAGGTTCTGGCTTCCACAGGCAGCAGCGGCCGCGTCAAGGAGCCCGGAGTCCTTGAAGCACTTCCTGGTGACCCCAATGATTCTATTAGTAGCCGTGGTGATAAACACTCAGGAGCACCTCTCCACTGACGTCTTCGATAACCCCCCGGGGTCACACACTGCGAACGTCCAGTCCGGAGGCGGAAACCATCTTCCTGCTCTTTGCAGCTTCCCCAGCGGTGGGGCTCAGCCTGGAAGCCTGGGCAGCTCTAGAAGGTTGGGTGTCCCGGGAGAAGCAGTACTTGCTCAGAGGGCATTTCAGGCAGCGTCAGACAACCCCTAGAAACTGCAGGAACGCTCTCGGAAGCACAGATGGCCCCCTCGGGGCTCCGTGGCGGGGGCCGCGTCACAAACCACCGGCCACATCCGAGCAGCGCATTTGAGTCACTTCCATGTGAACCTCGGGTGAAGACACAAATAGACCCTTTGATGTGTGGGTCCCTAACTCAGAAGCCATGTGCTCACCGGGCCTCACAGAGGTGCTTGGGGTTCCCTCCTCCCACTTCCTCTTCCTTTTGGTGAAAGGAAAACACACGGAAATGACATGGAAAGGCCGTCGGGGCCGGCACTTCCTGGCTGTCACTGCCGACGAATGCCTCAGTGCACATGAAGAGGGGACCCTGGGGTGCTGGGGAGCAGAACTCCAAAGCTGGAGCAGGGGCTGTAGGGCCACAGGCCGGGCCTTCCAGGAGCCAGGGGGAATGTTCATTCATTTCTTCGTCAAATGCACATTTACTGCCGGCTGGGTGCTGGCCCAGTTAGGTGCACTGAGAATTCTGGGGGAGATCCCTGCCTTCGGGAAGTTCCATTCTAGTCGGGGAGTCCCACAATACCCAAGTCACTCTGGCTAGTCAGCCACCCCGTCCAACAAAAATGTGCCAGGGGCCTACGATGTGTCAGACAAATCATTGCGGAAAAAAAATTGTATGTTACGGGCAAGAAGCACCTCTTTACACACCCACTCTAAGCCAGACTGTCCAATGTAAGTCTGGATTGACAAGCTGGATTGATCACAGGGGAAGAGGGGAGAGGGGTGGAAAGAGAGCTTTGTCTCAAAGGATTAATCCGTCGGGGGTTCTTAAACTAGATCGGGAGGGGCCGCTGGCATGCACGTTCCCAGGATGGTTCTCTTCGCACAAAGGTGGCCCCGGATGAGAAGCAGCAGCCCAAGCCCCTGTAGAGCCGGTGAGGGGCGCACACCTCCTCCACTTACCCGGTGCCCAGCCTGCGACCAGCCAAAAAGCACGGAAGAGGCATCCAAGCCGTCAAAGTGCCGGTCTTGGGGCAGGCTGGCCCCCGCCAGGGCCACCACAGTGGGGAAGATGTCCAGCACACTGCAGGAAGAACAAGACGGCGTTGGCCCCAGCTACTCCCAGACTCTCTCCCTGGCCCATGCTGTGGTCAAGGCCCACCCAAACCAGCCCAGACTGAGCACCAACATCCTCCCATATGGTCCGCCTCCTCTGCCTGCTGGTCCTTCCTTCGGGTCCCACCTGGATTTCTGCTCCTACAAAAGGCAGAATGGCACTGTGGTTTAGCACCCAGGCTCTGTGGCCAAGTGTTACCGGGTCTCAAATCCCAGAGTTATACCTACCTGTCTTCTCAAGGCCTCCATTTTCCATTCTCTAAAATGGGCATGATCATAATAGTGCCCACCTCACAGGGTATCAGGTGGATGAAACACATAGATGAGACATGTAGAAGACGATGGTATTTGTGTCATCGTTATTCACAAGGGCTACCCTATGGATCTAAGAACCAAGAGGCTCTACCTGTCACCAGCGAGGCCACAGCCACTGGCTGAGAGGGAACCACGTGTAACAGGCATCTGCTAGAGAATGTTCACGTCATTATTCCTGCTCTGGGTCTCTGTCTCACAAACATTCAGTCTTTGTTTAAAATGCCATGGTGGGGCACCTGGGTGGCTCAGTCAGTTGAGCGTCCGACTCTGGCTCATGTCATGATCTCGTGGTTCGTGGGTTCGAGCCCCATGTTGGGCTCTGTGCTGACAGCTCAGAGCCTGGAGCCTGCTTTGGATTCTGTGCGTCTCTCTCTCTCTCTCTGCCCCTACCCCGCTTGCATTCTGTCTCTGTCTGTCTCTCTCTCTCAAAAGTAACTAAACATTAAAAAAAAAAAAAAATAAGGGGGACCTGGGTGGCTCAGTCAGTTGAGCATCTGACTCTGGCTCAGGTCATGATCTCGTGGTTTGTGGGTTCAAGCCCCGTGTCGGGTTCTGTGCTGACAGCTCAGAGCCTAGAGCCTGCGTCGGATTCTGTGTCTCCCGCTCTCTCTGCCCCGCCTATGCTCACGTTCTGTCTCTCTCTCTCTCTCAAAAATAACTAAACATTAAAAAAAAATTAAGGGGCGCTTAGGTGGCTCAGTCGGTTGACGGTCCGACTTCGGTTCGGGTCATGATCTCACGGTTTATAGGTTCAAGCCCCTCAAGGCGCTCTGTGCTGACAGCTCACAGCCTGAGGCTGTTTCTCCCTCTCTCTGCCCCTTCCCTGCTCACGCTCTGTCTCTCTCTTTCTCACAAATAAATATAAAAAAAAATTTTTTTTTAATTAAAATGCCATGGTATGTGAAACGTTCCACCCCCTTTATTTCAGTGATTTCTTCCCCATTACAAAATAGTAATAAATGTTTACGGTGGGGGAAGAAAAATAGAACACCCAGAAATATAAAAGAGAGAACAACGCAGAAATCGCCCATCACCCAAAGGCAGCCACTGTTACCATTTTGGTGGGTTTTGTTAATGTGAGTTTTTAAGTCACGCGGTGCAACTTGACTCTATTATGGGGCACATCGCCCACCAGCCTGCTGTGTTTCATCAGAAAAAAACTCTCCAGCGTAAACAAATGGACCGTCCTTTCAACAAAGCTGTTTATCCGAGGGCCAGGCCAACTGAGTCAGCGGGATGTGATGCAGTCAGGCGGGCAGGCCAAGGTGAGGAGTACTCCCCCAGATAGAGGCCCTGGTTCGCCGGAGGCTGGGCACAGCACCAAACTTCAGGCACGCTCTGAGGGAGGCCTCGGGGGCCACCTGCCCCACTGCCACCACCCGGAGGTCCGGGAACAAGCCTCTCTGCCCGCCCAAGAGGGGCTGCAGAAGGGGCTCGCCAGGAGGCTCCGCCTAGAATCCCGGACAGAATCTCTCCCCGGACGATGGCACGGATTATTTCTGGTTTGCCTTCTGTGTTCACGATCCACACAGCTAGTGGCTTACCTCTCGAGATACGTGTCCCAGGGGCTGGGCATCCCACACAGGCAAAGCCAAGGAGTGCAGAGTAAGCATGATCAGAGTACGGCACAGTCCAGAAACCTGTCCGGAGTCCAAGGATCCTGCCACAGACCGGGCAGTGCGGAGCAACGCAGTCCGAGAAGGCGGCGGCGGCTGGGGCCGTTTGTTTGAGCTTTCTCGAAGCTGCACCCCTAAAGGACACCGGCATCGCAGATGGGTCGCCAGCGAGCAGGAAACACAGGGTCTGTGTCAGGCTGGAATGGATGGCATACTTTCTCTTTCCATCTTCGGTTTTCTCCCCTGTATCATGAGGCTTCACATTCTAATGAAACAAAGCACTAAAGTCTCATGTTCAGGGAACCCTAACGTCTCAGAATTCATTCGTCAGGATCCTCAGAGGGACTTCATCCGCCCAGAGCACAGAGAAAACCTTTGGCCCACGAGAAAATCTTCAACATCTCCGATGACTGGCCAATCCAGAATTACTGCCAAGCTCAGGCCGTTCCAAAGTCTTTCCTTCTGTAATGGAGGAAGCCGAGCCCCCGAGGTCAGGCCCACAGGAGGGCACACACAGTCCCCATACCATCCCGGGGCTGGGCCCACAGACTCAGCTTGAGCTTAGAGACAACATTGGTCCTAGGGAGGCCACCAAAGGGACCCCAGCTGCTCCAAACCTCAAACCCCACCTAAGAAACTGGTCCCGACAGTCTTTGAAACCTTCAAGAAAGAGACCAAAAAAAAAAAAAAAAAAAAATCTACATTTTCAAGTTTCTGTGGCTGGTGATACTTGGGATGGGGGCTTTGGGCAGGACCACGTTCTGATTTTTGTGGGATATATGGGAACTTGGGCCTTCATGGGCCCCTGCTTCCGTACGAAATACTAAAAATCATATTTCACATCTGTATTGACAGAAAGATGCATATATAAATAATATATATTAAACCATTGTCTTCAACTGAAAAGTTCTTTTTTTCCCTCCTTCCGATTTTAGAAGAAATTAAAAATCTCACGTGTCCCGGGGCGCCTGGGTGGCTCAGCTGGTTGAGCTGGTTGAGCCTGGGTGGCTCAGCTGGTCTTACTCTCTGGCTCAGGGCATGATCTCATGGTTCGTGAGTTCAAGCCCCGCGTGGGGCTCTGTGCTGACAGCATGGAGCCCGCTTTGGAACATCTGTCTCCCTCTTTCTCTGCCCCTCCTCAGCTTGTGCTCTCTTTCTCTCTCTCTCAAAATAAATAAATATTAAAAAAAAAAAAATCTCCTGGGCCCGGCCCTCCACCTCCCTGGCCTAAGAGACAGTCGGCCTTGGCTTCTGGAGGGAGGAAAACCCCACTTCACTGGGGTTATGAGAAGTGACACGAAAGGCTGCCATCAGAGTGGGCCAGGGGACACCTTTGCCGGCTGCCCATGTGAAAATAGTTTCTTCTTTTCTTAACATGGCTTCAGCCAGCCCACGGCACCGAAGGTTGTTCAGAGGAAGTGTGCGTATTTGTGCCCCCAGGCAAGGTGTCACCCCAGGGACCCGGGCGTGGAGAGCAGGCCGTGGGGAGGAGGGTGCAGGAGGGTCCGGCTGGAGCAGGAGGACTGCTAGGAGCTTGCTTGGGCCCAACAGCCCAGGCTCGGGACGCCTGAGGATGGGAACCCAGGCGCTGTGCTGGGCTGTCCTGGGGGGAGAGCATCCCGGGGCAGAGGGAAGGGCTGGGAAGGGAGGTGTTTCCTGGAAGCTGGGGACATTATAGCTGGGAAAAGGCGGTGTGATCTGAGGGCGGGAAGCGGGAAGTGGCAAGGAGGTTGCCAAGGAAAGGATTGGGGGTGCGTGGGCCCGGACACAGAGGGAGGGGAGAACAGAACTTCCTCCGGATCCAAAGCAAAGGCGGGGGAGGGGCAGTGCCTTTATAGCGCTTAGTTGTAAGTTTCTTCCTGTTGTAATTCCCTCTTGTGACCCCTGGGAAAACTGGGTACCCACCCCTTCCTGGCCTAAGCCCCTCTGCGAAGCGTTGAGGGGCTACAGCTTCCCCCAGACCCCTGACTCCGGTCCTTCTCAGAGGCCAGTATAAGAACCCAAGAGCACTGTTTTCAGGGGACACGGGGGTCCCAGAGCATCAGAAGAGCCCGACACAAAGCACGCATATCCGTTCCACAGCAGAGCATAGCTGGGAGCGGGAGGTGGGGGGGGGTGCACACAAGGCCCCTCCCTCTCTCTCCCTCCACTGCCCACCGCTAGATGCAGGAAAGAGTGGGAGACTTGGAAAGGAGATGCGTGGCTAGACCTTGCTCTCGCGGTGACACCGAACCACAGGGCACTGACGTGAACATGGCCTGCTTGTAACTTCCACTTCCGAGACGTGTGCCTCAAGACGGTACAGAGGCAGGTGAATCAGCCCTCCACACAACCGGCTGCGTTTCAGGCATCTGAAGAGAGCCGCCCGCCCCCCCCCCCCACCTCCACCCCGGGGACCCTCCAGTCTCCAGGCTAAACGGAACCTTTAGCTGTTTTCCCAAAGGAGATGTGGCCACCTCGTGTTGCCTCAGTAATCGCAGGAGAGGTTCTCTGCTCTGAATAGAGACGGTGGCCTCCCAGCTCAGAGATGCAGAGCATAACCTTCACGTCTTTGTATACGGCTATGAGACATCACATCAAAGCTGTGGCTCTCAGGGGTGCTGGGCTGGCTCAGTCGGTAAAGCATCCGACTTCGGCTCAGGTCCCGATCTCGCGGTCTATCAGTTCGAGCCCCGTGTCGGGCTCTACTCCGACAGCCTCAGAGCCTGGAGCCTGCTTCGGATTCGGTGTCTCCCCCTCTCTCTGCCCCTCCCCCACTTGCACTCTGTCTCGCAAAAATAAATAAATGTTAAAAAAAAATTAAAAAACAAAAAAAAGCCACGGCCGTCAAGCAGCATGAGTGTGTCTTCCCAGGGCACATCTGGTCCCACCTGGAAACATTTCAGTTGCCACAGGTCAGGGTGAAGGTGCCACTGGCATTCAGTGGGTAGAGGCCAGGGATGCCATTCAATATCCTACAATGTACAGGACGGGCCCCCACAACAGAGAATGATCCTGCCCAGAACGTCAACAGTGCCAACGTGGAGCTAACCTGCATTACAGGCTGAGGTTCAAACCACCAGGCCCTTGCGACACGTGTCGCCAAAGCCCCGGCCTCCTAAGTTAGCTCCTAACCATCAGGAACTTTCTGTCTGATTTGCTCGCTACTCCATCCCCAGTCCCTAGGGCAACGCTTGACCCACAGCTGGACACAACAATAAATATTTGTGGAATAAATGAATTTCCCTCACTCTGTAATTGTGTCACTGGGCTTCGGGGTCAGGACATGTGCGAGACCTTTCTTTGACCTCGCTACGTTATGCGGGTGCACGCTGGAACATTAACAGTGATTATCTCTAAAAGGGAACCAAATGGAAAATGGAATTCGTGTGGACCCCTCCTCCCTCGCCACTGCCCCCCCCCCCAACGCATTTGTCACTTTTCTGCATTCATGTGAGTACTTGTATCAACCTGTCCACTCTCTTCCCATAATTCCTCAGGGCCACCAGAATTGAGGTGTAAGGTATTCTGGCCTTAGCTCTATGGCTCAGGGGACTTACCTCTGATCTGAAAGGAGATCTATGTCCCTCTGAGGAATAAAGAATAGGGGATAAGTACTCTGGGGGAGGAGGGAGTGCCTGGTGGGGTTTCCAAGGACATGAAGTACCATCAGTTTCTTGAAAATGGATCTGAAGGCTATTCTCCTCAGAGCCGACCCTGAAGGAGTCATGGAAAACAACAGTAGACGCCTGGTGGCCTGGCCTGACAGTAAGGACGCTCCACCCAAGTTTGCTTTAGGTGGATTTATGTGAGGAAACAGCCAGAGGGTGAATTCTATGGAGATGAACTTTCCTGCTTCAACTGAGACTACTTTAATGCCAAAAAATATCCTCCGAAGGGGCCGATGTAACGGATCAGCGCTGTCCTGGTAGAATTCCAGGAGCTCTCGAGCAAACGCGGTCTTGTACCAAGACTCACTTTCTTGGGTCACCAAATGGTTCCCTCAGTCCGTTGTCTCCTCCGGGGCCTTAGGCCACGAACGCCACGGTGCCGTGGTATCATGGCGCTGTGGTTGACCATAGGTGCAAACGCCCTTCTCACGTGAGGAGCGTGTGCTCGGTGTGCAGGGACGGAACTTGAGAGCTTGCCGAGTTATTTGTGCGTGCGCAGCCAGCCCAGCCTGTGAACACTTGGCCTGACTGCACCAAGTCAGCCCCATAAAAAGCAGTCCATCTGGCCCTCTTCCCGGCCAGCCTGACATCACAGACTCCAGCGCTCGCTGTTGTCACACCTGCCTGCACCCCCTGATGGCACAGGGCTGACGTGGGGTCGTGGGGGCCCGCAGGCTGCCAGGGACGGTGCCTACCCACCCGCCCTGGCCGTCAGAGCTGTTAACCCCTCCTTTCCCCTGGCCTTCACGGCTGTCCCGGTTCCCCACCGGGTCTGGGGATGCGGGAAGGAGCCCAGGGAGCTTGTCTTCCTCTGAGAGGCTGTGTTCTTGAGGCCACGGCCCACTGGGCTACAGAACTGGTTCGTAAATTAGTCTCTGACCAGACCAACAGCTCTGAGCCCCTGAGCAGCGCCCGGCCACGCCCCCTTGCCAGTGACTACAGAACCACAGAGAGGAAGTTCCCATCACGGGTCTTGGTTACCCAGCTGCGTGGAATCGCTCTCGGAAGGGCCACCACAGCCTCGTGCTGTGCCCAGGAAGGGGCCTCGTGGATCTGCCTCAACAGGGAGCTAAGAGCGAGGGTGGGATCTTCGAAGAGAGGGAGCAGCCTCACTGCAGAAGCTTCCTTGCCACGGGTAGGAATGTCCTCACCTAAAGGTGCATTCTTTCCTCGCCAGCCCAGTGGGGCCGCCTCCTTCTCCCTCCCCTGCAGGCTAGGCGGACACCTAGGTGCCTTTCTTGGGCCCGTGTGATTGCTGGCGATATGCTGGCTTCCCGCGGTCACCCTGAGGACACCTGCCCTACCCCCAAGGATGGAACAATTGTGGCTTACGCGGTCTATTCCCTCCCGTCTGCCAGGCCCAAGACAAAAAAAGGGACACGCTACCGCTAACCTTTCTGTTAGTAGAGCACTGACGCCAGGAGCCACCGCCATGACTCCGCATCAAAGGCCACAGAGCCCGCCCAGTCCCCTCTTGTCACCAAGATCATCCCCAGAGGATGGCTTGCAAAGAGCCACTGTGGGCCCTAACTCAGCACGTGGGATTGCCTACGGGGAGATCCGTGTGGCTACGATCAGAGCTGTAGGAGGCATCTGGGAACGCCCGGCCAAGGCAGGTGGCCGATGAGGCCTCTCTTCTCGAGGTTTCTAGCCGCTGGAGCCTCGGTCCGTGGTTTTCTAGCCCCGAATCCCAACATTTCAAGGTAGTTTGGGTCTCATACCTTAACAAGGCTGTGCTGGTGACGTTGATGGGAACGGTGCCAGGCCAGTAGGCCAGAGCCGGGACCCGGTGCCCACCTTCCCACGTGGTCTGCTTGGCTGCACTTCCCCCTGTGAGACAAGGCAGGTAGTTGGTTTTCCAGCTGTTCAAAAAGCACTGAGAGTTTCTGATCACTGCAGCAAAGGAATCGCTTCTTTTTTTGTTTTGTGATTTACTGTTTCAAGTTTATTTTGAGGGAGACAGCGAGCAGGGGAGGGGCAGCGAGGGAGGGAGAGAGAGAATCCCAAGCAGGCTCCACGCCGACGGCACAGAGCCTGATGCAGGGCTTGATCCCGCAAACTGCGAGATCATGACCTGAGCCGAAACCAAGGGTCAAACGCTCAGCCTGCTGAGCCACCCAGGCTGCCAGGAATGGCTTCATTTATAACCAGCTATTTTTATTCCTCTAGCCAACACCTTGCATTCCCTGATTTTATTTTACCGGATTCAACATAAGTAAATGGTTGCTTCTGTCATTCTCTGGGGAACCACGTTGCTTCATTTTCTTCATGACCCTTTTATTTTAATGTTTATTTATTTTTGGGAGAGAGAGAGAGCGCACGCACGTGTGCATGAGCGGGGAAGAGACAGAGGGAGGGGGACACAGGATCCAAAGCAGGCTCCCCGCTGACAGCAGAGAGCCCGATGTGGGGCTCAAACCCATGAACCGTGAGATCATGACCTGAGCAAAGGCGGAAGCTTAACCGACTGAGCCACCCAGGCGCCCCCTTCACGACACTTGTAATACTTCAGGCTGTCTGGTTTGTTCATTGACTTTCTGAGGGTGCATCTCCACTCCATGAGACCTTATCAGCCTTGTGCACTGAAGACATAGCAGGTGTTTAACAAACAGGTCGAATAAAAATGACCTTGTCTTCTTGCTGACCATAACGTGACCGTTTAGGATTTCAAAACACAATTATTTGGGGCACCCGGGTGACTCTTGGTCTCGGCTCAGGTCGCGATCTCACAGTTCATGGGATTGAGCCCCACATGAATCACGCGAGCGTGGAGCCTGCTTGGGATTCTCTCTCTCTCCCTCTGCCCCTCTACCCTGCTCATTCTCTCTCAAAATAAATAAACATTTAAAAATATATACAATTATTTGAAAAGAGAGAAAGGCAGAAACTCCCCCAGCTGTGTGATCTGCTCAACGCCCAACAACTGATCTGGCCAGGATTTTATTGTTGTCTTTTGGTTTGCTTTGCTTTGTTTTTCCTTGAGTTAATGAGTCGTTCCCTTGTTGTGGAGACAGCATTAGTAATAGCTCTGACCTCTTGCCTCTTGGGGGCGATGGGTGGGGTAAGGACAATCTACGTGCAATCTATGAATTTCCACTTTGGTAATTCAAGGAATGATTTTTGTTACCACTAAGTCAAAAGTGACCACCGGGATCATGAGGACCGGCGGGCTGGAGGAGATGAGGTCATGCTTTATGGAAACATCCTGAATGCATGGAGCACTGAATTATCCATGACCATCCCCACCACTCCCACACACACCCCACCCTCATCCCAGCTGAGCCAAGGATTCCACAAAGTTAGCGTGTAGAAAGCCCTTCCAAGGCAAACGCGGTATGCGGCTCACACGTACTGTGGTCATGCAACCTCCCCATGCTCGGCTGGCGTGAATATGAGAGCAGTGATGATGGGCGGGAGGGGGCTACGAGACCCAAGTCTCTGCACTCGCGCGGCCGCGAACAGAACCTTTGATGTCCCTGGCCCAGCACCCCACACCGGAAATGCTCCGCATTCTTGGGATTTTCTCATAGCCAGCTTTGGAGTCCCCCAAGTGTTGAAGTAAGAAACCAAACACAAAACAACTCACGTCTACGGGCTGTTTATGCTTAGGGGTGTGGGGCTCTCGAAACCAAGTGGGGTTCGGCAGGCTGAAGGGGAAGCTCTTTGGCCCGCCCCAAGATGTCTCGAATGCATTCTCCGCATCGGGCGCCACCTCTCCCATAAATACAGACAGAGCCCACTCTCAATTTTTCACGCACATGGAACAGAGAATTCAGAACTGCAGCAAGCCTGAAACGCACTCCCACGTGGCTCTGGAATGCATAACTCATGCTGCAGTTCAAGGCCAAAGAGCAGGGAGGAAGCATCCCCGACCGACCGCACGTGCTAGGACTCTGCAGATAATTCCACCCCCGGGAGGGGCATTTGCACGGAAGTTTGGGGGATCGGTGGGTGGAACTGTGGAGCCTGCTTATGTGCATATCCACGCCGCACAAAATTCCAACAGACTTGCTTAGCCTTTGAGGCCAGATGCTAAGGAAGAGTGAAGTGTCCAGTTCTAAGAAATAAGCCCAGAGTCCTGCGGGTCAACCAGAAAGCAGGGGCTGAGCACCTGTCCTGCGGCGGCCGCGGGCACCAGGGTTTGGTCTCCGCCTCCAGCACGTTTCCAGAAGAATACACCAGCTCCTAATTAATACATTTGCTAATTGGTCTTCACCACCAGGGGTTCTGCTTGTTGGCCACAGCCTCTTCTGTTGCTCTTTTTCAGGCTATTGGTTTTCCGGATTCGTTTTTCAGAGAAACAAATATTTCAATATGTTTGCCTTATTTCAGCAGGGGGTTCAAAGCAGGAGAAGCAGGAGAAATCCAGCCAGTCATAACAAGTGTGCCTGTCAACCGAGTGGACGGTCCCCACGTAAAGATTCAGGGGGTAAGAGAAAGAGGTTGGCTTAGAGGAGCCCCTCTGTGTGGCCACTTGAGAAGCGATCCCCCCTTCTGCGTCATCAAGAGCGGCCAGCCAGTGCTGGCTGTCCCACTGGCTCTACGGGAAAGACACAATTACATATTCCAGCCAGGCCCGCAGACCTCCTACTCTAGCGGAATTTACCTTAAAGGAGTCCAGAGTGTGGGTAAGCAATTATAAAACATACATCCCCGCCTTGTGGAATCGTTATATTGTACACCTGAAACTAATAGGACACCGTACGTTCATTATACTTCAATTAAAACTTTTTTTTTTTTTTTCTTAATGGGGCGCCTGGATGGCTCAGTCGGTTAAGCGTCCAACTTCGGCTCAGGTCACGATCTCACGGTTCGTGGGTTCGAGCCCCGCGTCGGGCTCTGGGCTGATGGATCAGAGCCTGGAGCCTGCTTCCGATTCTGTGTCTCCCTCTCTCTCTGCCCCTCCCCCACTCATGCTCTCTCCTTCTCTCTCAAAAATAAATAAACATTAAAACACTTCTTTTCCTTAAATCCCCCTCAGCATAGAATTGTCTTGCCCCAAATGCCAGTATCTCGTTGGCACCGCTAAGGGAACAAAGTTCAAAAGATCCCACTAGCATCCCCCGTGGGTGCCCAGAGTTGTGGAGTCTGATTATGAGAAACATCTTATACCGTCAGAGCTAAGGCTGAGCCCTAGGACAGCTGCCCTTGGTCCCCTACTTCTCATCAGTGATACCTGCTCCCACTAATGGAAACCCATTTGAGTTAAACACAATAATTACAGTAATAATATCTCCTATTTACTGAGCTCCCCCGTAAGCACCACGTTAAAGTACTCCCAAGCATAAGGCTAACTGCTTCCCTGCATTATCTCATTTAATCCTAATGACAACCTTGCGAGCCAGGCATTATTATCCCCGTTTTTCAGATGAAGAAAACCAAAGCTCAGAGAGGGTAAGTAATTTGCCAAAGGTCACACAGCCAGCAAATGCCAGATCCAGGATTTGAACCCAGGTCTAACTACATAGCCAGCCCCTGGCCCATTAAACCTTCTAGGACAGTGGCCCCCTCTCATCCCTGAATGCATATTAGGATCACTAGGGGCGCTTTTAAAATATACCCAGGCCAAGGTTCCTTTCCCAGAAATTATGACTTAATTTGCCCGGGATGGGGCCTGGACATCAGTATCTTCTAAATTAATATTTAATATTAATATTTAATTTTAATATTTAATATTTAATATTTTTATATTGCCCACACCTTTTTACCTTTTATGCCACAGGATCCTAAGTGCGCACCTGTTACTTACAGTAAACAAGAACAATAGGTAAGTCCATAAATTGAACTTCTCTGCACCATTTTTTGTTTCGAAAGCTATTTGCCGGTGTAGATAAACCTTCAAACTTTGATCAGCAGCACCGGCACCTTAAAAGTGTTGGTTACATTTGGCTTTCTGTCGAGAAATGCATGTCTTATGGTCATGAGAACACGTTTTAGTGCACTTGTGGTTAGTTATGACTCTAATTAAGGCAGAACCTCTTACTTAAAGCAATAAATATTTAGCCTCAGCAACCAAAATATAAACAGAACCATGATTCATGAATTTGCTTGCTCGTTCTTCCCCAGCTGCGGAAGTGAAGCGGCATATTCCATGATGCACGGAGACCGGGCAGGCCGCGCCGAGGAACAGAGGTCTTGCCCAGAAAGGACGCGCGGCGGTGCTTCCCCGAGTCCGAAGGGCAGCCTCGCAAATGACGAGTTTCGTAAGCTTGTCAGCACAACCGAACCACCAGAAGGACCCCCAGAGATTCCTAATAAGTCTAGGGTAGGCCTCTGACTCTAGGTGATTCTGATGCCAACGGTCTGAGGACCAGAGTTTGATAAGTATTAGCAAGGTAAGTAGGAGGACGTCTTTGGAGTCAGGCAGGTGTCGTCCTACATCCGGTGCGTTCCCTTCTCCACGTGTGGCCTTGGGCAGAATTCTTTTTTTTTTTTTTAATTCTTTTTTTAACGTTTATTTATTTTCGAAGGAGAGAGAGAGAGAGGGACAGAGCGTGAGCGGGGGAGGGGCAGAAGAGAGGGAGAGAATCGGAAGCAGGCTCCAGGCTCCCAGCTGTCAGCACAGAGCCCGACGCGGGGCTCGAACCTACAAGCTGTGAGATCACGACCCGACCCGAAGTCGGCTGCTTAACTGACTGAGCCACCCAGGCACCCCTTCCTTTTTTTTAATGTTTATTTTTGAGAGAGAGAGTGTGCACATGCGAGTGAGCAGGGGAGGGGCAGAGAAAGGGGGAGAGAGAATCCCAAGCAGGTTCCACGCTGTCCGTGCAGAGCCCGATGCAGGGCTCGAACCCGTGAATCATGACATTGTGACCTGAGCAGAAATCAAG